TTCGAGCTCGGTACCCCGCCGTTTTTCGGGGATTTCGGATTTTCTTTGAATTTTTTCGCAATAGTATTTGAAAAACAGATAAATTTTAACACATTTTAATGCAAATAAATTTTTGGTCGGAGTCCCCCTTTAAACTCATCAAAATTCATATTTTCAGTGGTCTGCTCTCTAAATAAAATGCAATAAGCCTTGCTCCAAACATCCCCAATAAAAATATGTTCCGGGGTTTATACTTATATTTCTCTGGGAGGCGTCGCTAGAAATCTTGAAAAATATAAACGAAAAAAAAGATGTCTACTGGTGGTGGTCTAGCCACATGAAGCCCGAGAAAGATGATGACACGTTTTAGATGGGGAATATCGGAACCGTCGGAAGATAAATGTATGGGCACACATATGGAACATATTTTGGGGAAATGGGAAAAAAGAAGGTGAAACAACGTTGAAACGAAAAACGAACAAGACAAAGAATTATGTATTTGTTTGAAATTGAGCAGAAAAGTGCGTTGAAAAGTGAAAGGCTTTTATTTACGTCAGCAGTTATCCCAAACCAAACCACAATATTATTATTATTATTGCTGGAGAAGACAGAGAGAAGAGAAAGTATAATCCCTCTGAGAAAAAATATGTATAACAGACTGAACTGACTGACTGACATTGGTAGGAAATGAGCAAAAATGGATGAATGAGAGAGAGTGGAGATAGAAACCGATACGCCTGGGAACAGGGGATCGGGGTACAAGTTTTTAGGGATGCAATCGAACAGATGAAGAAAATAATATTTTGGAAAACCGGATGTTTGCTTTTTGTAGATTAGAGAACTTTGAAACCGAATTTAGCCCAGTAGATTATCTGAAAAAATAATTTCGTGTACAGGTTGACGCACAATTACCCGAGATCATAAAAACGGGTATATCTTCAGACATAGTATCTTGGAAGCTCGAAACTTGGTAGAAATATAATTTTACGTTTGATTCAAGGGAAATATCGTTTGATTCAAGGGAAATATCGTTTGATTCAAGGGAAATATCGTTTGATTCAAGGGAAATATCGTTTGATTCAAGGGAAATATCGTTTGATTCAAGGGAAATATTGTTTGATTCAAAGGAAAATATATTCTATTGAAATTTTCAAATCGATTCCTCAAGTCTAGGTATTGTTATGGTAGTCCAAAGATGAACGGCGTAATGTTTCTTGCACGCCGTTGTGATTTTCATGAGATGCAGCAAATTTGACAAGCAATAACTCTTATCAAAGTTAATCAAATAATTTGAAACTTGGCCAGTTTACTGATGAATTATTTGAATTTTCCCCTTCCAAATTTGAGCCCAGTAAAACGCTTTGCTCAAATGTTATGCTAGTACAAACTTTGGTCCTGGAAATTATGCGCCACCCTGTACCTAGCTTAAAGCTGGTCAAATAACTCACATTGAAAAGACTAAAACCAGCTGGAAATAAATATCTGGCGAACTGATCTATTATCTCAACGATGTGCTCCTTTCCACGTCTTCTTTGCAAAGTATACCCAACGACCGCCAGTTCAACAAGTGACAAAAAAACAAACAACATTGACCCGAGCATCCAGACATCTGAAAAAATTAATGGATCAAAAGATCACAGAGGACCCTCGTACCAATTGCTTTGATATAGGATACCTTTGGCAAGTTTTTCATAATGGAGCCGAAGTGAAAAATCATGGAGAGAAGGGCATTGACTCCGATCATTGTCCGAGGGGTAATGGCTTGTGGCCCTAGAGAGAACGCAATCCAGCTAAAACTTTGGATGAATAGCCTAGTGTTAGAACTTCTAACGTAGAAGTATATGATACCTGATGAAAATAGAAAAGAAAGTTGGGAGGTAGGCTTGCAAGAAGTACCACATGTATCGACGTTCGAACACAAATGTCACAATGAGCTCATCCCATTTTCCAGCTGGGTAATCCTAAACATTTTATTTCAACTATTTTTAGAATATGATATCATTTTAAATTAAGTTTTTCGATTTTTCTAATGTAATTGTATATTTTTCTCCCCGACATTCGAAGTTCTAGAAAATTATAACTTCTGTAAACTGAGCTTTTTTAAACAACCAGTGAAACAAAGATCAATTTCGAAAACGCTCTTACCCTTGAAATCGTCCCCGTTGTGATGTCCTTGAGTGTGAAGTCTGCCAACCTTATCTATAAAAAATGTCTGATTTTATCCAACGGTATGGGATGACAGACAGGCTGAATAGCGAAAACTGGCTTTCTTTGACTGTTCCATTGGAGTCGAACTTCTTCATTGTTGTAGGAGAAACTGTAAGAAAGTGCAGGTTACTGTAGATTGACTTGGTAGATTAGAAAGGAAGATTTTTAGAGATTGTGGAGATTATGTATCGTTCCGATCAGTTAAATGGAGCATACAAAGATTTTTGGAAAACCATCTCAATTTTTTTGGAAAACCATCTCAATCAACGAAAATTGTCGAAAAAATGAGTGGGCGTTATATGATCTCCAAAATGATGCGCCAAAAATCATTGAAACTTTAAAAAAAAAAGAGAATTTTTCAGCATCATTTGTTTTGTCAGACGAAAAATTAAAAAAGGAAGAGCAAATTTTAACAATAACATTTCTGAAAAACACTATCAAAGTTGAATTATAAAAACTCGAAAGAGTTATTGAAGTTAGGACTTCATTTTTCCCAAGAGCCTCTTGTTATGTTTGAGATTGTGGAGGACACTTTTATGTATTCCGTCTCCATCAATTTCCAAAACAATCAATCATTATTTTTTTTTCAATTCTTCTGTATTTCGATCCCTTACCTCTGATAGTTGAGCCTACATGCCTGTGTATCCATCGGAAAATTAGTCAACTCCATTTCACATGGTCCCTTGACACGAAGTCTCTAGAAATCACTTCCTTATTTTCAATCAAATCCTAGAACCATGACTCACATAGTTCACCCAAACCGTCCCATTATCGAACAGAGTCAGGAAGACATTTTGAAACGGTGACTCATAAATCTCAGCGAATTTCGAATTCACGAAGCAGGTATTCGGTTTCCATAACCTGCAATTAGAGAATAAGGAAGACGGCGATTATGTTTCCGGCTTTCTGAAGAACTGACTTGTTCAGGGTTTGCTCGTACAGAGTGAGGTTCGCTTTACATGCACCGAGATGCGAGAACCTGAAAAATAGAGATCATTCAAAAACCATTGGAATCAAAATTATGAGGGCTGCAATTACAAAGACTACTTTAAAAATAGTTTTTGATCTTTGTAATTACGATGTACTGATCCTGTCCCAGGGTGCTAAGAATCAATTAAATGTTACAAAGCCTGAGGCAGAATTAGATGACAATTGCTAATTGCGTATTTTTCTCAAACAGGATCTGAAGTAGTTCTTTGTTTTATCTATCATTTTGAAATGTATTTCTTCTAATACCGTATGCTCTGGCATAGTTTTTTTCCCATGAATTGGAGCTGTTAATTCATTTACCGAAAAACCTGTAATAAAAGAGTCATCGAACCTTTAGCTTTGAGCCAATTTATCTTGGTTCCTGTCATGGACATAAAAAAGTAATCTACTAATAAAATTTTTATCATAATATCAAAATTATTTTGGTTACTTCTTGATATCTTTTGCAAGAACCGAGATATATGAGCTCAAAGTGGACGGTTTGGGAGGTATTCTGTTAAAGTGTTTACGGTAACTATGCCATGGAAATTCTTCTATGAGTTTTCAAAAATGTACCAGTTTGAAAAAATTTTTTAAGTCTTCGAATTCCTGAAATTGTCTCTCACTTTTTCAAAGATGAATATTCATTCCTTCATAAAACATTCGTGATATTTAGTGTTAATTAAAAGTTGTCATTCAACAAAACATGGAACCCACTCAACTTGCACAGTTGGCTGAGTTCATAATCTTTGAGGCCCTACCAAATCATTCGCTTCTCACACAAAAACATAAATCATACTTGAGATTCGGGTCCGTCCACATTTCGTTGATATATATTTCCATTTCAAAGTCATTTGTCATTTCTGATATCGAACTGATCTCCTGAATCCAAAACTCCACGCTCACTGTGATCCCTCCTTTTTCTGAAGTAATTTTTTGTCAGTTTCTGACTTTTATCATGAGGTGATTGATTGATATTTTGGGTTCATAGAAGGTATTTTCGTATTTATGCCTGACATTGTCAGTCCAAAAATATTTGCCTCGCCAACAACTCACTTGGTATTTTGTGTTTGCTATACTCCCGTTCTGTTAACAACTTGCTCATAAGCCTCGCTTCATTTAAACATTCCGATTGAAGCTCATGAACTTCTTGGCCAAAAAGCTGAAATACCAGAAGGGCCAAAAATAAAAATGGAAGACGCATTGAGAATGAAATAGAATGAATGCTTTTGAGCCGTCCCTCTCTCTTTCTTTTTTTTCGAAAATCCACCAATATGAAATTGGAGGGGACGCCTCTTCACCCCATGAAACAGGAAATGGGAGAAAGGAAATCGTTGTTTTGAGAAGAATAAGGGGGAAGAGCTGGGAGAACGCTTCGGAAAATTAAAAAAGAGAAGGAATGATACTATCGAATTTCATATTACACAGACAAGGGAAACATGTATTCAAAGGATGAACTTTAGAGACTTAATGTATGCAGGTATCAAAGTTCCAGATGTCATTTACGCTCGGTTCCCCGTGTGGAGCCATCGTAGCCATCAAAATCACCTGTTCCCCGTCTCCAAACCTTGTCTTCCAGTAATTTACAACTATTTTTTCTCGTAGTTATAATAGTAGTGAGAAGACTGGGAGGAACTTGTTTTCATTATTCCTTTTTTCTTCAGGGACTATCATTATAGTCCCTATTATTCGCTTCCTCTTGTTAGGTTCAATTACAAGTGTCTCGCAGTTTCATTCTTGTCACTTTTTGAGATTGTTCTCTCTGATTTCTAACATCCCATTTTCAGAAATGTCGTCTATCCGATGGGTTGAAAAGTCGTTTTTGGCTTCTGAAATCGGGTTTTTCTCCACTCTTGTCGTCAATTCTTTTCTGGTATATCTCATCGTGTTCCATACAAAACAAGTATTCGGTGCATATAAATATCTAATTTTATCATTTTCCATAATGGGAATACTGTTTGCAACAGCAGAGTTTATTATAAAACCGGTAAGTGAAAATTAAGATTTTTTGTATACTCGAAAAATCAGGGCCCGATCCACAGGCCTGGTTGGGCCTGGTCTGGCCAGGCCGGACCGGGCCGAGTTTTCCACATTTGAAGCAATTTCGTAATTTTCATTTTCTGTGAAAAAATCTTTTTAGCGACACCCTGTTCTTGGCAAGAATGACTTTACAGAAACACTTGTTTTTTTTAATTGACACCAAAAATTTTTCGGAAAAAAATTCTGAAAAAAAGTTCAGGAAAAAAGTTCTGAAAATCGGGCACGAGACAAGCCAGCCAGGCCGAGCCCTGAATTAAAAAAAACCGTTGCAAGTATGACTTTTTGTAAACTGGTTAATTTTCAGATGACCCACAATTACAAAGCGAGCTTTACGTTTTTCACATTGGAAAGACCCTTTGGATGTTCAAAGGAAGTTGCCATGATATTATTAGGTAAGATTGAAAATATATTTTGAAGGGTTACTGTAGTTTTTCCAATTTTTGAGTCCCTATGCACCCAGACTTTTCTGGCTACTTTTCCCCAGATACCACCTGCAATGTTTTCATAGACTTTGACCGAGAATCTGATATTTGGATAAAAAAGTTTTATTTAACACGTAAAAAGGCTAATTGCAAATCTAATAGATCTCAATTTCAGCTGCCTACTCTAGCACTTATGCAGCTACCATATCCCTATTAGCCGTGCAATTCGTCTATCGATATTGGGCAATCTTTCAGTGAGTTTTGATCTAACTGTGTTCCAGTTCAATCATCTTGTTTCCAGTACTCGCCGGTTGAGTTTCTTCAATCGATTCCGAATTTTGTTTTGGGTGTCTATCGCGATGTTGTTTGGCGTAGACTGGAGTTCATCGGTATATTTTTTAGGAATGCCTGATAAGGTCTCGGAGGACTATTTAAGGTATCTGATTTTAGAAAATATCGTAGATCTACTTGTTCTGTCTCAGACGTGAAATCAGTGATCACTACGATCTAAACATCTCTCGACTTGCGTATTTTGCAGCTGTTGTCTATGTAAGTTTTCTGATGATACAGAATTCGTTTTCACTATTTGTGCTCTCGATTTCAGGATTCAGAATATAACATCAGATGGCGTAGTGTTATGGTCATGGGAAGTGTTTCCAAGGTGTTGGTAAGTGTGGTGCATAAGTGAATGAATTACTCATTCTACTTTTCAGTTCATTCAATACGCTGTAATGGTCTTTTGTGGCGTCAGAATGCATCGGAAAATGGGAGAAAAGATGGAACAATTCTCTATTACGAATCGAAAAATGCACACTCAACTTTTCAAAACTCTTGTCATCCAGATTACCGTACCAACTTTCACCATCTTCTCGCCAGTTCTTGTGATGTTCGTGATTCCGTTTTTCGATCTTCAACTGGGAATCCCAACGGGTCCGATATTATGTGCGCTTTCATTGTACCCATTCATAGACGGACTAATTGTTATTTGCATTGTTTCTGATTATCGTAAAGCTGCACTTGGTAAGTTATACCTAGATTTGTGCTTTTTGACAAAAAAATGTCCTTTCAGACATCTATCGCCGCCTCGTCTCCCGAGTAACATGTGGACATGTTAAACTATTTCAACCTCAAAAATACGATTTTTCTATCAGCGGAGCTATGGGAACTGACGGGAATACTAACGGACTTTCGAATAGAGTGGCGGCCGCACCATCAGCAAATACGATATCCAGTTTCTAACGGGCAGAAGAAAAATGTTCATTTGAGTATAAATAAGTTATATTTATTGAGTTCAAATTTTTGCTCTAATGTTCTGTGGTTGCTGGTTATCTCTAATCGTATCCATCAGCTTTTCAAGTCGTTTCAGTACTTGTTCATCCAAATCGAAATAATGATCAACACCAGGAATCCTATAGAAATCCTTGCACGTTGAGGCAATACGTTGCATCAGCTTGTTCGAGTTTTCAATAGGAACAATCTGAAACTATCAACAGATTTTTGAAAAAAAAAGATAGAACTTACATTATCATCTTCTCCGTGAACAATTAATACTGGACAAGTGATGTCAATAGTCTTCTCCGGGCTGTTACAAATGCTTGTCTGAAATTAGAGTAGTTGTTTTCAGCCTTTTACCGTATACCCTCTAATAGAAGCCCATCAAACCGAACAACTTTGAGCTCATATATTTCATTTACAGTAAGAGATATCATTAGGCGGTCCATTAACAAAATATAAATCGTAATTTCAAAAATATTACAGTTTACCACTTTTTCATACCTTTCACAGGAATCGAGATAATCAAGTTCAAAGTTGACCGTTTAGGTGGGCGATATGGTAATAAGGCTGGCTTACTTTCAAGAAATCCTGAAGACACTCAATGTTCAAAAGAGCCGGATGTCCGTGTTTTGATGGAGGATACTTGATGGATCCGGTCTTCATAAGATACTTCAATGCTCCTGGTTGAATCGTATCCACAAAACTCATATCCAAACCTGTACCAGGACACATCAGGAATAGTCCCGAAACCTTCTCTTTGTGCTGCTTGGCAATATTTAGAGCTGGATGGCATGCTCCGCTGGTGGCCATCAAAATCCATTTTTCATTGTTAGCATCTAAAACGAAATGTTTTTGGAGATCAGCTTCGCATTGTTTTAGTGTTAGTAAACTTCAATTTAAAATTTCATTTTTCAAAAACCAACAGTCTTAGTTTTGCCCTTCCATTCTTTCTGTCTCTCCTAATCGTCCCTATCTCTGCCAGACCATCGGATTACCTTTACAGAGGGCACCCTGGCTGATCAAACACGAACATCATTGAGCGTTTTAGGACCGCCCATATGTTTCTTGTTCTTTACCCTGCGAACTCAAAATGACTGGACAGCAGCTAATCAAATTTTTTTGTTAACCGGAAATTAGTCACACAGACTACTCCTTTGGTGTCCAACGACAGACACATCTTGTTGATTTTTGATTCGTTAGGTTACGAAGACTAGCAGAAATCAGAAAATTCTGAGTATGATCAAATCTAAATCACAGGCTGTGTTATCCCACCGATAATTTGATTTACGAATGCTTAGACAAAACCCACTCAATATTTCAGAACATTTTTTTTCTCTCAAAAAATAAATCTCACTAATTCTTTCTTCGATATCCCGTCGCCACTCGTTCACATTCCATACATGGTCCAGTGATCCTGGATTTTTGTAGAGGAATATGAAAGTTAGATTTTGAAAAATATAGTTTTGAAAACTAGAAGAACCTACTTTTCAAAGTAAACGTCGTTTTGTTGTTCGAAGAATGTTTGAAGTTGAGTAGCATGACGGCAATTTATTGAAGATCCGAGTCCATGGCAGTATAGAACGTTAAGGTGTTTGAGTAGCCCCATTGATTCTGTAATTCACAAGTAAAGCAAAAAAATAGATCCACATATGACAGTATTTCAGTAGGAAAATGAAAAACCATTAACTGGTTCACGTACCGTAAAACCTGTAATATAAGGACTGTCAATTTTTAACTTTGAGCCGATTTTTCTCGGTTCCTGTCAATATTGTAAAAAAATGTCAACTGATAAATTTTTATCATAATATAAGAAGTGTTTTGTCAGTCGTCAAATTTTTGATATCTCGCATAGGAGTTGAGATAATTGAGCTCAAACTTGACCGTATGAGGGCCCTTCTATTACAGGTTTTACGGTATATCGTATTTCCTCTACTAAAAGCCCATCTCAACCGTCAACTTTGAGCTCAATTATCTCGATTTCTGTGAAAGATTTTTTTGTGGTTAACTGATAAATTACTTATCAGAATATCACCAATAGTTTACCAATTGACAAACTTCGATATATTTCACAGGAATTGAGAAAATTGAGCTCAAATTGACGGTTTGGGTGATCTTTTATTAGAACAATTATTGTAATCGAGTTTCAAAAAAAGTGGGTCATTTTAACTAATAAAAAGTTTTTCTCCTCAATTTGAAAGTATTTTTTTCAAAATGTTTAGATATGTAATTTTGGAAGTCAAATTTCAAAACACCGAACCGTCTGATATTAACTTGAAACTAAATAAAAATTAACGAATTTGAACTTTTAACTGACCAGGATAAAAAACTTTGCTTTAAAAACTAAGAATTCCTGGAAAAATCGAAGAGAAGAATGATTGGCTAACGTATACAATCTATAAAACGAACACACGAAACCCGTTTATTGTGTTGTCTGTGTCCAGTGGTCAGCGCTAGAGAACCTGGTCACTTCTTTTTGTTTAACCATCTCTGTCTCTTCACAACAACCAACTCTTTCGCTATTGGCAACACGTAAGGCTACGTCCAAACGTTAAGGGCAACGAGGAGCACCTTTCCCTCATCTTGCTCCTATGATCCCTGAAATGAAAGTTGGTAAAAGTCGATCATGTGAACTGGGAAATCCCATTATTAGTTAGATATTCGGTGATCAGGAAAAACTGGAAGTTTTTGATATTTTCATCTTATGAGAGCTTTTCAGACAACAAGAAGAAGTGACGAGAGGAAACTAGTTAAGCTTCGAGCTACCCTCTTCCATGGGGTTTGTGCCTTTCCAATCTTCCTGATCCCTCCATTCAGAATGTATAAAGTTTGGACTGATTGATAGTTAGAAAGTGTAGTATTTGTAGTTGAAAACTTGGAATTCCATTTTTGAAGATCTAATCTTGCAAACTTTCTGAATAAACCGACACATCAAGAAGAGAATATAGTTTGGAACTAATCTGAATCGGGTGAGAAGTCTTATAAAAATCAATCCCAACACCTTCTTAAACACAAACCTTCCCTGGATCCCTGTTTCCCCCAATGTATTAGGTTGGCGGGAAAGTCTTTGTCACTCTGTTTGTTTAATCACTGTTCTCGTATATGGAGGCTGTGTATGATATCGACTCTAGTGAATAACAAGGTGATAAGAACCTTCCATATAAACAAGTCCCCATTTCCTTCCCTGCTCCTCATCTGTAATTGAAACGATATGTTTGTTCCCACTGCTATTCACATCAGACATGTTTTGATTTACCTCTTCCTATCTCACACCACGATGAAGGATTCGGAAACTTTCTTGAAGAATGTGTACAACACACATGCCCCTCACTACAATACTATTCGCAATTGGTTCCATCGTTTCGAAAAAGATGACTTCTCGCTCGATGAAAAGGATCGCTCTGGGAGACCCCGTGAGTTGGATTTGGACAAGCTGAAGCACGCATTGCAATCGGATCCATTTCAATCTAGCCGTGAACTAGCTGTCACATTCGGAGTTCACCATAGCACAGTCCTTGAAGGTTTGAAGTCTCTTGGAATGAGAAAACTTTTTGGTCGATTCATACCTCATCACCTGACTCAAGCCAACCTTGACCGCCGAGTCGACGATTCGATTACTCTTCTCACTCTCCACGCGGGCGATCGATGGCTGGACCGGCTAATAACCGGAGATGAGAAGTGGGTCTTCTACGATAATCACCACAGGAAATCCCAGTGGGTTGGAGAAGGAGAGAGCCCACAGGATGTCCCCAAACCCGGCCTTCATCCGAAAAAAGTTATGCTCTCTGTGTGGTGGGGAGTGGACGGCCCCATCTACTGGGAACTTCTGCCCGAGGGCAAAACAATAACTGGAGACCTCTACACTACTCAACTACGAAACCTCAAGAAAGCAGTCGACCGTTCGGCCCTGAAAGACAAGAAAGTGTACTATCAACATGATAACGCTCGCCCACATGTTTCGAAACAAGTGAAGCAGGAGCTGATGGGATATGGATGGAATGTTCTCCCTCACCCCCGTATTCTCCTGATCTTGCTCCTTCCGACTATTGGTTATTTGGCGATATGACACGTGCCTTCGAAGGAAGAAGCTTCAATTCCCGTGGAGCGGTCGAAGCGGCACTCAAACAATACTTTGCCTCACGCCCGGCTGGATTCTACCGCAATGGAATCCATAAATTGAGGGAACGTTGGAGACATGTTGTTGATAATGATGGACAATATAATTAATTATTCGGTTATTTTTTCTTTGAGAAATAAACTATTGAAAAAGTGACAAAGACTTTCCCGCCAACCTAATATCTGTGTACAACATTTTTTCATATATTTGCCTGCTTGTCTGCTCTCTATTCAAATATTTCGGTCGTTGGCCTTTTTTCTTTCCTCTTTTCTGTCAGTGTTCCCTTTTCACACCTCCTGTATTCTTTTGCCACTTAGAATTGTCAAGAATCCCTTCAGTTAATTAGATGCTCAACATTTCAATTTTTGATTTGTGGACAAAACTTGAGCAAATATTCCAAACCAATTGATCTACATCATCTTTTTCCTCCCCCGCAGTAGCTTTTCGGCCGCCGCCCGGCCGTCCGCGTGCACGTGGTGTTCACTATTTGTCGCCATGTCATCATACATTTCCTTTTGTTACGAAAATAGTGGAAGAATATAAATATAGTGTTTCAAATTAGGTCAAAGATTATTGCCTCGAATTATATTGAACTTCGAGACTGTCGATCTTTCCTTTTAAGAACTATTTGTGTGGTATGTCTTGTTGTGTTATTTGCTCCCAATTTGAACAACACTTGTTCCGATGATTTGGAAAAATTTTGGTATTGAAAAAGTGTGGACTGTCTGCACTTTTAATCTTTGTACTCACCATTACAGACAAACTTCTAGTACTTTCATTTTTTGATCTCTGATTACCTAATTATGTCTGTTCCTCTTGTTCATTTCACATTTCTTCACACTTCACTACGCTTCTCGCACTTTTTGACTGATCAGACAGATCATTTTACCATTAACGATTGTTTAAAAAAAAACTTTATACTCGTTCGGGAACTATATTTCAAACTGTTCATCCCCTTTTACACCCAGCTATACACATTTCAATTTATAATCTCTTCGAACAAAATACATCAGTATAACACATCACCTGCCACTTTTCAACTCAATTTTCTCTGATGCGTCAAGCTTCTATTCGACCTGTTTCCCGTTTAGTGCGGGACACAGAACGATATCAAAACCTTACGAATTGATAATAAAACTCCGCAATCTTTGGTTGATGCAAATGCGTCACTTTACTGAAAGAAAAAAGTATCCGGAAACTCGGATTGAGTTTTGCTGATAAGGCAGAAGTTCCACGCTTTTTTGTGGGATGGTAGAATTATGTTAGGGGTATAGGTAGAGGCAAACAAGCTTCTTGTTCGAAGATTAGTTATTTCCGATAGTAACTTTTTTAGTCTGTCTCGTGTGTTCCAGTTGGTAGTTTTGTTGAACCTAGTTGAACCTATTTTATCATATACGCGCAGCATTTTATCATGAACATCAATACGGAAAACTGAAATTAGAAGGACCACTCTATTATTGTTCCAATTTTATTACAAGAGCCCTTCAATTGCAGGGGTCCCTCTATGCCATATTTTCAAAACTTTTCATCGAAAAATTGGTGAATTCTTGTTTGAAATTCGTGAAAATCTATCAATTTCGCCAAAATTGAACATATTTTTGGGAAAAAGTGTTTCAACAAATATCTATGAAGTTGTGAAATTTCCGGAATATTTTTCAATGAAAACGTGCTCAAATGTTTTATTTTAAATCAAACATTTTGAAGGGACCCTTCTATTTTTCCAAGTCCCTTTCGGAGAGCCCTTCTATTAGAGGGATCATTCTACTAAAGGGGCCCTTCTAATACAGGTTTTACGGTATATCATTTTATCATGTATACTGATAAAATAAACTTTAAAAAATCATCAGATTGTGAAAAAACAAATCTGAAAATCTTCAATTACAAATATAGGAACTCCCTGACATGATTTCGGGTTTCTTCCTTTCCATACCATAAAGAATCATCTATTTCTACTCCCAAATATCTTCTAATTTGTTGCAAAGATTAAATACGTGCCTTTCTGTTTTCAAATGGCCCATCCTTAATCAATTTCTGTTATTCTTCTGCACTCATCTCACACTCATTTGAGGAAGTATCTCGATTCGGTCAAAGATTACATCGGCGATCCTCATCTACTCCTTTTCTGACCTGTGCGGAAGACGTTGTGACGTAGAAGACAGTTTTCTTGTTTCCGAAAAGAAGTAGTGTTCTTTCACGGGGTTTTTTCTTCCTCCTTTGTCCTTTTCTCGTTAGCGACTAATGACCTTCTTCCATTTGTGTTTTGAAAAAATAATTATTCATTTTCTTTAGGATCAACTTGATGGACCCACCTAGTTGTTCAAAAAGCGCTGGCACAGATTCTTTGGAGTTTGATCTTCCTGAGGTAAAAATCATAAATTTTAGATTTTAAGAAAAGTTTTTATTCAGCTTCCATCACTGCCACAAAATGAGCGTGGTATATCACCAGGACAGAATTCAAAATCAGCTGCTACTGTACGACATCTGAGACCTACAGAGTGTTCAATATGCGGTAAACCAGCAAACGGATATCACTACGACGTTCCATCTTGTAATGGATGCAAGACATTTTTCCGGAGGCTCTGTATTTCGGAAAAGAAGTTCTTATGTAAAGCAACTGGTGATTGTTATGACTTGACGAGACCCAGTTAGTTTTTTTTTTTCCTTAAAAGGAAATATAATTTTCAAACTTGACATTTCAGACCGTCCTATGAAGTGCCGCCCTTGCCGTTATGAGAAGTGCATCATGTCAGGAATGAATCCGTTGGCAATGCAGGTTGACGAAAAAGAAGCTACGGCTGGAAACTTCCAGATACTAACTAAAAGAGCCAATATATCTAGCTGCAAAAATGATGAAGAGTATGAAAGCGATAAAATTCATCAGATTGTGAAAAAACAAATCATTGAACATATCACTTCAAAAGAAGCTATGATGCAAAAAATTGTGGGTGCTGTGAATTTTTTGGAGCTTAAAATCCACGAATTTCGCCTGTCGTCTTACAATCCACACTGGAAAAGTTTGCCGAACTTGGAAGGATTTTTGAATATGGGCACTATTATTAGTCTCGCTACTAAAACAAAGGTTAGTAACATAGATGTCAATTTTCCAACAACAATTTGAATTTTAGCCAATGCCCGGGTGGCCACTAAAAGCCTCTCCAGTTCCTCCGAAACCTCCAAACTTTTCAATGGCTAATGGTCCGCAGTACTCTCCAGATAAGTAAGTTCCCACAATAAAATATTTAAAGGTGGGGGGACAGGAGATTTTTCGTAGTTTTTTTGTAGCTAGAGTATGCATTCTACCGTCACGGTGTACAACGCTTAATGTCACTCTGCGTACAGCTGTCGTCCTTGCCTTTATGTATCCAATCGGGGGTGCGCTTTCTCTTTGCCCGCGTAGCTCAGTTGGTAGCGGCGCCGCACCCTCAATCATCGCCCTCACAAGTTCAACTCCTCGAGGGGCATCTTTGAACGAAATTTCGAGAACTTTTTTTTTTCATGTCCCCCCACCTTTAAGCAACATGCGCTATTTCAGAAAGCAATGGTTGATGTACGACTTGATGTTATCGATTGAATATGCTAAAGCCTTTGAGTTTTTCAATAAGCTCGACTTTAAGGACAAGATGATTCTGATGAAATACGTCGCATTGGCGCTAATGAATCTTCAGATTTCGTACTATACCGTTTCTAGAAAATATGATAGCATTGTTCATCCAGATGGGAGTATGCCTCCTGCTAAAGTGTAAGTCTAGAGGTGGAATTTTTGTGAAACTAAAGATTGCATTTTTCAGAGGAATGGTGTACACTGAAACTGTGATGTCCATAGCACCATTGATTCGGTTTGAAATAGAGAAAACAGAGTTTGCCTTGTTGAAAGCGATTTGCCTCTGTAATCCAGGTGAGCTATTGAAAAAAAAACAACCTGTGTTGGAAGTTTTTTTTTTCATTTTTATTGAGGGTAAGGCTGTCCAGGATGAGCAGCATGTCTTAAGCCTACGCAGGTGCTTTTCAAAACGCTACAATCCAACACTACTGGTTAGAGAAGCTTCCACCGCTAGCCCAAGTTTCTCTACGAGCTTACTGGCAAAACATGGGGGCGTTTCCCAGATTAAAAATAAAAAATATATGAGCTTGGAAACTTATCTTTTGTCAAATCTCCCTAGCTGGTCGAATTGCTTATTTCTCGCAACCCCACAACGTCTCCTCTTACAACAATCACTCTCTATGTTCTTTGTTCAAAAACGCCACAAAACATGCAAATGTTTATGTATGTAACTTCCTTTTTTGGTACTTGACCGCCACTCTTGTTTCCGAGAAACCCAATACCGAAATACCTCATCTTCTGAATTGCAGCTGTCCCCAACCTTTCCGACCATGCGCGAGAGATTCTGTCCAAAGAAAGAGAGCAATACGCCGACGCTCTGTTTGATCATTGCCTCCGAAACCGAAGGGACGGGCCTACTCAGTTTGCCGAGCTGATTGGAATGGTCGACCTGCTGGAGCGTCAACAAAGGATGCAAAAAGACCTACACCTCCTACACGTAGCCCCGTTTGTTGCTAAAATTCCCGCTGAGCATAAAATGTGGCTCATTGAGGATATTATGAATGATTGATTAGTTTTCTTCTCTTTTGATTCTTTTCTTTCATCTAGATTAGGTTTTCGGTTCTGCCCCACCCCGTTTTTTCCTAATTTTTCCTCTTAGTATTTATTTGACATTGTGATTTCGACTACATACCTTTTTTCCGACTTCCGTGACCACCGTGTATATACTTTGATCTCTATAAGTGAATTTTTCAGCTGGGTTCTTACCAATTACTCTTTCCTTCTCTTACAAATAAACATACGATTTTTCAATATTGGTTTTTATTCTAATTGACGTCTTCAGTTGACCATACCTCGTGTCTTCTTATTGAGATCTTTTATAATACGTCGCAATTTTTAGAAGATTCTATGGATCAGCCTTGTTGTTCATCGAGCTTACAAAGCCCATCAATTGAACTTCCAGAGGTATTTTAAATTCTTTTAAATCTAGTCTAAAAATGAGAAGCTTTCTTCCAAAGCCAATCATGTTTTTAAGTTCCGTTACAAATTTTTTCAAACAAAAAAATGTTCAAACAAGGCTTTCTATTTGTACAAACTACGTTTTTCGTATGACTAAAAAAGCTATTTCAACGAGCTCCCTTGGTTTTTGACTAGGTTTCGAATTCTCCCAGATCCTGCCTCCTCAAAAATCAAAACGAGAAAAGGAAAGACCAACGACATGCTCGATATGTGGTGGATCAGCATCTGGATTCCATTATGATGTTCCAGCATGCAATGGATGTAAAGCATATTTCAGAAGATATGTAATCTCTGAACGAAATTTCAAATGCAAGAATAACGAAGATTGTTTTGACTTGACAAAACGAGGTAATCATTTTAAAATCTGTAAAAAAGGACTCCCACACAATGAAGTTTGAGGTCAATTATCTCGGCTCCTATGCAAGATATCAGAAATGTGTCAGTTAATAAAATGTTTGTGGTATTATGATGAACAATTTATTAGTTGACACGTTTTAAATATCTTTGACAGGCACAAAGATAAATTGGCTCAAAGTTGAAAGTTGAGCAGCCTCAAACCGGCCAAAAAAATTTCTGCTAAATGAAAAGATCGCAAAGAACGATTATTGTTAGCACATATTTTTTTCTTTTTTTATAAACTGCTTAAATTTCAGACATTTTTAATATGTGAAAACCCAGGGTTCACTATGCAGTGCCTGATTTTTTCAACTTTATCTCCCAAAAACCATATTTTGATTTCAGAAAAACCAATAAAATGTCGACCCTGTCGTTACAAAAAATGCTTGGATGTAGGAATGAACCCGTTGGCATTAGAAGTTGATGAGAAGCAAGCGGAGGCTGAAAACTTTAAGAAAATTACAAAACGAGTGAAAGTCGAAGAAATCGAAGAAGATGATGAAGATAACAAATCAAAACAATTTGTACTGAAAACAGTTGAATCATTTCAAGAGAAAATGCAGCGACTCTCTGATATGCTAACGTATTTGGAAATAAAACTGGATCAGTTTCAAACTTCTGCCTATAATCCTCACTGGGGACAAGTCCAGGGTTTGGAGTTCTTGCTTAGAAGCAATAATCGAATCAGTTTGGCTGATAGATATGGGGTAATAATTTTTTCACTTTTAAAATTTTTCTCGTTATTTATTTTTAGCCAATGCCAGGATGGCCCCTTTCAAGTGACCCAGCACTGGCTGCAGATAATCAACCTGTTCTCGGGAAAGGACCTCCTCCATATTCCACTGACAAGTAAGTGTCTCTTTTTTGAAATTAAAAACCAAAACCAAAACACATCAGAAAACACTGGCTCTATTTTAACTTGCTCACTACTGTAGAGTATGTGAAGACCTTCGGATTCTTTCATAGACTGAACGCCCGAGATCAGTATATTTTAACAAGATATGTCACACTTGCATGTATGAATTTACATGTTTCATTTACATCGGTTGCCAAGAAGTTTGACTGCAGAATTCAGCCAGATGGATTGAAGCAGCCATTCAAAGAGTGAGTCTTCGTTTTCGAATAAAACCCATTTTTTATGTTTTCAGTGAAGAGCACTACTCAAACTCCGTCATGTCTATTGTCCCTCTGATCAGATACCAAGTACAGTCAATTGAATACGTTCTACTAAAAGCTATATGTTTATGCAATCCTGGTATGTCCTTAATTTCCAACAGCTCTCAAACTATCAAAATAGTTTCAGCGGTTCCTGATCTCTCCGAACACGCCCAACGTCTGTTGACCAAGGAGCGTCAGCAATTCGCGGAAGCTCTTTTCGACCACTGCCTTCGGAATAGGACAAATGGACCCAGCCATTTTTCGGACATTATTGGAATTGTTGATGTTTTGGAACGCCAACAAAGAATACAAAAAGATCTACACTTGTTGCATGTTGCCCCTCTTGTAGCGAAGGCTCCCAGAGACCGTGTTATTCAAATTATTGATGATATTATGGATTCATAAAACGTTTTTATTTCGTAACTTCATTGTGGTGCAAAATAAGTACGAAGATAGGATCATTAGTTGATTCGAAAACACTTTATTTAATGGGTTAGGGTTCTGAGTTAGGATCTTCTTAACCGGCGGGATCTACCAAGCTTCGATGTAACAGAGGTTTCGGTTGTCGGCTTCTATCCGATGGTCGTCAGGGATCCTTCGTCACGGAGTCCATTGTTCCAAGATCCTTGAAGCATCTGCTGCCAATCATTCAATTCAGTTCTTTCTTATTTCCAGTCTGAACCATCAGAAACGCTCTAAATAATCTTGTTTCTCGTCGACCATCTCTATGCATAAATCGTCTGATTTCAGCTCCAGGAATTGAAAAAATTATCTTGAACTTCACAGCAGATCCTCCAACAGCATTTCACCTTGCTCCAGTTCCAGCTCCAGCTCCCGGGCCGCAGGACTTCGGGCTCCAACACCCAGGCTTCAGCTCCCGGGCTCCAGCCCCCGGGCTCCAACGCCCGGGCTTCAGCACCCGGGCTCCAGCTCCCGGGCTTCAGCACCCGGGCTCCGGATCCCTGGCTCCAGCTCCCGGGATCCAGAACCCAGGCTCCAGAACACGGGCTCCAGAACTCGGGCTCCAGCACCCGGGCTCCAGCACCCTGGCACAGAAACCGGGCTCCAGAACACGAGCTCCGGAACCCGGGCTCCGGAACCTGGGCTCCAGCGCCCGGATCCCTCCCCCGGCTAACCTTCTCTGGAGCCCAGAGAAAGCGAGAACTGATCCTTCCTTCCACTTACATCTTACTTTATAGTAATTTTCCCGAGGTCAATGGGCCATCTAGGGTCACAGACTTCTAAATGGATTCACGTTATTTTCTTTTTATAATTTAAAAAGTTTTATCTTTTTTGCCACGTGGATTTCTTTTATTCATAATTTTTTTCATCGCGTTTAAATAATAATTGAATGTTTACTTTTGAAATCTGTTTACATAACTCTTTGAAAAGACTATCACTTTGACCCGAATTATCTCGTTTCCTGGTTGAGCTATCAAAACAATGTTCACTGATGAAATATTTCCGATATCGAAACGACCTTTTTTGCTCTTGAAGTTTTTCTTAAACCTCTCACAGAAACCGAGAAAAACTGGTTAAATTTTACGTTTAGGACCCCCATCAACTTCTAACTTTGAGCCAACTTATTTCGGTTCCTGAGAAAGGTATCAAAAAGTAGTAAACTAGCATAGTATTTATTCTATTATGGTGAAAATCTTTGCAGTTGACCACTTCTTTTAGAGTGTTTATGGTAGAGGTGAACTGGTGGCAACATGATATAATTGACCTGGATCAGAAATTTGTTCCTGAACTCATTTGTTGATTTTCATATGAACAGCCATTATGCCAACAACCACATCACCTTGTGGTGCAAAAAACACTGTCTTCATTATCAGCAGTATGAAAAATTCCTAGTTTAATGACACCGCGGAGTGAAAACCACGTGTTCAAATAGATCAAGAAGTAGGCCAGAACACAGAAAAATAGCCAATTTCAAAATGAGTTATGTCCTAATTTTCAACAAAACTACGCACGTAGTTTGAGCATTGTTCTTCACCATAGGCTAGAACGTTGTGTCTTGTTTTCTAATAAGAATTTCTTATCAAAATTGGTAAATTGAGGTATCATCCGTTTCCGAGGCGAATGATACATTGAGTTTACGATCAGAATCGGCTATAAAAAGAGGGGACACAACACGTGAAAGGAGCATTGCAAACCACTTCAGTCTTGTCGGAGAAAACGGTCGCAATGACCTAGAAAATTTCTATTTCTAGTTTCTACTCGACCTCAGTTTGGTTGAATTTTTAATGTTGCAAGAACAGGTTGAAGACATTTTGCTTTCTTCTTTTTTGTTTTCTTTGTCTATTCCTCTTCTTCTTTTCCTTTCCAAAACATAAGATCAATTTCCAGCACCCCACCATGCTCAAACAATTTTTGCTCTTTCTTTTATTTGTGGGGAGTTCACTCTCCTATAATTTTTACTGGTATGACAAAACGCAAACCCTTCAAAATCGTCAAACTATGGTCCACCTTTTTGAATGGAAGTGGACGGATGTTGCCAAAGAATGTGAGAACTTTTTGCAATACTACGGATACGGAGCTGTCCAAGTTTCTCCACCAATGGAGCACTTGAAGGCGTTCCCAAATAACAATTATCCGTGGTGGGTGAGATATCAGCCAGTTAGTTACAAATTGGATTCGAGAAGTGGAAATGAGCAAGAGTTTCAAGACATGGTGAATAGGTGTAACAAGGTTGGAGTCAGGTTAGTTTTCAAATCGGAATACATGTCCCAAGCGATCAAATTTAGAATCATCGTAGACATCGTTATGAATCACATGGTAGGAATTGGGCAAAAAAGTGGATCTGGAGTCAGTTCCAGTGGAAGTTCAAGTTTCGATGGAACCCATGGAGTTCAGTCATTCCCAGGTGTTCCATATTCTTTTGGAGACTTTAACAATCCAAAATGCGATGGAGATATTCAAGGATCTGATTATCAGAATAGTGCAGAGCACGTAAACTTTTAAAGATAGTTTTGTATCCCATCGTCAACAATTATAGGTTAAAAACTGCCGTCTTGTGGGACTTCTTGACTTAAACCAAGCCTCTCCAACAGTCAGAGCCAAGATTGTTGCCTACTTGAATAAGCTTATCGATATGGGAGTCGCTGGATTCAGACACGATGCTTCCAAGCATATGTGGCCACAAGATATTCTGAATATTTTGAACGATGTCAAAGACTTGAGAGCAGATGTAAGATTTTCAATGGAAACATTTTTCGAAAGTTCAACAAAATTCAGCTCTTCGGCTCTAACCAACGCCCATTCGCGGTTCATGAAGTCATTGATCGTGGTGGTGAAGCCGTGAAATGTGCCGATTACCTTGGAAATGGAAGATACACAAATTTCAATTTCGGAGCTGCTGTGTCATCTGCCGCAAAGCAACAATCCGACTGGAGATACCTGGCGAATTTAGGTCCCGGATATGGATACGGTAACAATGAAGATCACGATGTTCTGAATTTCATTGATAATCATGACAACCAAAGAGATTCGAGCCCATATGTGGTAAGTTTTGATTCAATTTGCTGAACGTCTACTATCCCAAGAAATTTAGGTCACTTACAAAGACGGTCAAAAATACAATCTCGCGGTCGGTTTCATGCTGGCCTGGCCCTACGGATATCCAAGAGTGATGAGCAGTTTCGCATTCAGCTATTCTGATCAGAGTCCACCAAATTCGGGAGCATCCAATGATTATGCGGTAGAAATAACTCTCAAAAATAATAGAAGAAATATAAAAATGTTCAGACCACTAGTCCAACGTTCAACCCAGATAACACATGTGATAGCAAGTCCGGATGGGTATGCGAGCATCGTTGGCCGGCTATCCGTCAGATGGCAAAGTTCAGAAGTTCAGTTCAAGGAACTGCCGCTACTCAGATTGTTACTGACAACCAAAGAATCGCATTTGCAAGAGACGGAGCTGGATTTTTCGCGTTGAACCAACAAGGAGGAACTTGGAATAAGTGAGAATACGGTTCAGAAGATTATCCATCGCTTTTCACTTCCAGAAACTTTGCTACTACTCTCCCCGCTGGAGATTATTGTGACCATTTCACAGGTGGTATTGATAATGGGAAGTGTGCTGGAACCAAGGTCACAGTTCGAGACGATCGTAAGGCTCATGGTAGAGAACAGTATTTTTTATCTTGAATTTTAGAAACTGCTTACTTGAATGTCCCATCCAACTCTGTTATCGCCATTTCTCTCGGCTCAAAACTGGTTCCATATTCTCCCCCAGCAGTTCCATCTGGATACAGTACAACAGTAATTTTCCTCAAAAAAGACACTCAACCAGGACAGAACTTGTTCATCAGAGGAGGAACTAGCAGCTCTCATAATGGAAGTATGTTTTCGTCCATTTACTTATTCAACGTTTTTCTCTTTTTTTTTCTAGAATGCTCTACTGGACCATACCAGCAATCCAGCGATCCATGTGCCATTCCAATTTATCACAACACAACTGTCCCATTCGTCTATGCTGAATATCTTTCTTGGAGCCAACAAGACAACTATTTGGATTTTGAAGGTGCTGAAATAAAGCAGGGAACTCATGATGGAGCAGCGGCATTTGGAACTCCATTGGCCTACTCTACAAATGACAACACTGCCGTTGAATATCAGCCGTACAACAAATATGGTCCAGGATACTGGATGGCTGTTCTCAAGATGGACTGCTCCAAAGCTGAACAAGGGTGGTTTGAAGTGAAAGGATACGAATCCCCGGGTATCGGATGGGAGGGTGATATCAAACAAGGATCGTGTACTGGAGGTGTTGGTGGTTCCGCACCATTCTCTTCTATCAACCACGTGGCAAAGTGTGGAGCTGTCAACGTGTTCACTTGGGGATCCGCAAGTTGTATTGTGGATTCTGCCTAGTTTGCTAATTTGTAAAGAAGTGTATAAAATGTTTATTGGGGTTTTTTTCAATCAAAAACTATTTCTGTTGGAAGGGTACATACTATCTTTTTGGAATGAAACTCGGGAACTTGTTAGGGAAGATACGAGGACTGTTTCTGATAGAGATTTAAGGCTAGATGGTTTAAAAAAAGGTAGAAAGAATTTAAGAATAGATTTGACTCCATCTCGAACTGGTTTCGTAAAAAATATCATGGCAATAGTAGAGAATGATCCATGGAAGGAAATAAGAAGTAGTAGACAGTAGGCGATACCTGAAAGGGTTTCAATGTGACATAGTTAACTTTTAGTAACTTACTATCATACGGTAAAATGAAAACGATAGCATAAATGAAGCCAATCAAAGGAGCTCCTAGCATAACTCCATGGATAACTGCTTGAATAAAAAGACTCATTAGTAACATCTTCTGAAGCTGAATAGTCCGTTTTGATAGATGCCTCGAGAGCTGATCCAATTTTCTCCAAATCGAGATGAATGTCATTGGAATGATAGTGGCAGCTGTTAGCATAGCTGTCACTATCAAGCTCATAAGTGGAGTAAAAACGGGATCTAGAAGTGGTGGAGCAGTCACAACAGTATTACAAAGGACGTGGATCGAAATTCCATTGCTCATGTTTTCCTGAAGATCAGAAGTTAGAAATACATATCCGAATACGGAGTCATACTTCATATAGTACTTCTTTATAATGATCTTGTTTTGGATGACATCTAGGTAAGGTTGCAAAACAGAAAATTGGAATAATTATCACAATAACCCAGAAAAAGATAACGATTTTATGAAGAGTTTTCTTGATTAGAGTGTCATCACTTATTGCTGCATCGAAACGATACTTGAACATTTCGAGAATTGAAAGTCCGGTATCTGAAATTGACAGGACAAAACGATCAATTTTAATGGATTCTGGCTTACGAATGAGACAAATAACTAAAAGGTAGAACTGAATGAGTCCACTGACATCAAAATACTTCAAAAATCCAGCTCCTCGAAAAACCGGGTACGGTAAGTAGGTAACAGGGAGCATGAATAAAGAGATGTAGAGCTCGAAGATTAGGTTTCTGAAAGCTTTTGATACATCGACACTTCTCGGGTTTTTTAAATTACCCCAATGTGTGCCACAAAAGATAATTGCGATATTCTTTGAGAGCTTTTGGGCATTTATTTACCAAAGAGTAAATAGCCATCATGTATAATGGAATTGTTAGAAAATGAGTGAAATGCATGACCAACCTGTAATTATGTCTATTTAGATAACATTTATTTAGAGTCTTACCTATAAGGATTCGGAGCATCTGATAGACAATCAGCTTTGGATGGTGTAACTGACAAAACATGTGCCGTTGATGTTTCCATTTTTCTAGAAAATAGTTAATGATCGCTCAAAAACTAGATGTGACTGGCCTATGACATACAAGCTTACAACTAGTGACCAAAGAGGGGTTGATTGAATTTACAAATGATGAATTGAATTTTCTACCAGTTCTAAGAATTCTGCGAAAGAACAAGCATGAAAATTAGTTAGAAGACTGGTATCGGAAAACATGACTCGTGAATAAAAACACAGTAATTTTTGGAGTACTTCTAGTTACTGTAATTGGCTAAGTATAACTTTTGCTTGGATTTAAAAACGCTTAAGGAAAAATTTATCTTCAAAAAATACATTCCTATCAATTTAGACTCTCCTAAATAGTTCTGAAAAACTGAATTCTAACAGGTGATATTCCTTCATTTTATCATAATATGAAACTTCATCGTTTCCGTGAATCGAAGGCACAACAGGAAGAGCTTCGAAAATTCAGCTGTTCTCGTAAGTTTCATTCATTTGAACTCAAGATTTCAAAGACGCTTATAATCACATAAAGAGAAAGGAGTGATTTTTTGCAAATAAGATTTGTATAGGTATTTGGACATGAGATGAAAGGTTAATTCGATTTATGAAAGTTAGAGCAAACAAGATCGCTGAAACTTTGGTATCTATGATCTTTCTATATAACAGAACCCTTGATTTAATTTGGAGTCTCAAACCGAGATGGAGTACGTTTTTCGCGCTCGAAGTGAAGGAGGGATCTGCCGTATTCGCACTGCCAGAAGCCCGCAATACACGTACATCTCGATTCCTGTAAAATATATCAAACAACTTTTAACTGATGAATTGTTAATCATAATACCACCAATATTTTACCAGTTGACAAATGTTTGACATCATTCATAAGAACCGAGATAATTAAGTTCAAATTGAACTTATTGGGTGGGCTTCTATTAGCGCTCATAAAGAAATTTACTTTAAAAGATTTCAGAGAGCTAGTTATCATAACAATGATGTAGTTTTTAATAAAGTTGAACTGATTAGAAATGGCAAAAATCGTTCATCTAGAAAGCAATTATAACACAAATGAAGGAAAAAAAATCTAATTGGTATTCCTCTCCAAATATTGCCCAGCAGTTACAGAAGTCTTCTTCCAGGTAGAACATTTGAACATTTGCACTATTGCAATCTGGATTGGTTTCGTCAAAATCATCATGGCAACGGTAGACACCAATCCGTGAGTCGTGAGACAATAGAATGCGATTTTAGCCATGACTGAAAAAAGGAATGTGGTTAAATTACAGTAAGAAAAATGTATTACATTCATGTTGAGCTCCAAAAATCACTGCGTAGAGGAACATCACATTTGGACCGCCCAGCATGATAGCGTGAATCAAAGTCTGCAAAAAATGTATTCAATCAGTCCATCGAAGTCTTGATCACCTGAACAAACAACGTGATCAGTAACATCCGGTGCATTCTTATAACTGCTGGAGAGTGATGCTCATTATCTCTCAGATATCTCCACAAGTATATTGTAGTCGAAGAAGTTGCAGTGAAAGCAACAAAGACCACAACCACCCACACAGCCAGATTAAACATAGTAATTGGATCTCTATATGGAGCAGCCACCACTACGGAGTCACAAGAAATCACTCGAGGAGCTTCTGGGTGATTAAATAATAAGTCTATTTTACTAATAACTTGTTGTTCAAGTGCATAGTAGTAGGTTGATATGTTTACAACTAAAAATAGGAATAAAGTAACCCGAATTACATAGACATTGATCCGTAGATAAGTGTAAAAAATTGTGGATTTGTAATTGAGCATACTGGCTTTAAAACGAAACAAATACATTTCAATAACCGAATAAGCAGTTTCTGGAATCTTCTATAAGTTTTTAATTATCCCTTGTAATTGAACTAACGATGAATTAACGCATTTATGGTATAAAACTGAAAAAGACCACTGAAACCCAACTGAGTCATTATCCCTGTAAATCTTAGAAGGGGATATGGAAGGTGAACAGTTGGAAGAAGAAACCAAGAGTTGTAGACTTCCGATATGAAATTTCTGGAAACAATTGCTCAACCTATTTTTGATTTCATTAAATATTTCAGCTCTCACGTCGAAGTATGCCAAATCAAAAAATGTTTATAAGTTTCAAAATAGGTCGACTTGGTTCGCAAGAGTGCAATAATTGCGATAGCATAAATTGGGAATGAAAAAACGCACAGCGAATGTAATATCCATAGATAATCGTTGGAGGTTATAATGGAACAATCCATGATGGTGGCTTTTTAAGTCAATGGAAGTCAGGGCCAGGAGTTGGTGACAGAGATATTTGATTATAAGCTCGGCAGGCTACTCGTGATGTGAGTTTTTGGTTGCAAGGAATTTCCTGATATTTCCTGATTGGAAAAACGGCGCACATTCTGAGCTTTGCTCCAAACGTGTTAGGTAGATATTTCCAACGAATCAGATAGAAAAACGACTACCGTAACATAAATATGTTGTTCTACAGAATTTATTTTCTCGGTTTCCGTATTACTATACTTTAATGTTTGTACTTCCTCAAGAAAACTCTTCTTGAAATATTCACATAATTTCTGTCTTGATATTCAATTGTTTCGGACACTTTCTATCGCTAACAACTAAGTCGTCCACTGCGATTGATTTGCAAACTCGCTCTCTCGGACTCCCAACGGTGGCCCATTTTTATCGTTGTATTGTCTGGTTCTGTAAAAAATAGCTTTCCTGTTTCCTTATGAAACTTCTTTCTCTTTTTCGACAAGTTTTCAAGAATCGGTTTTTTTTGAGTTGGTGCATATGCAAATGGCTTATAACTAGCGCACATTAAACTTGCACTGCAGCGAAGATGCAATGAAGTTATTTCGCATGATCAGAACACTAAACTTTCTCAAAATTTGATATTTGTTGATGTACAAATACGAGTCACACTGTTTAAGCAACAACGACCTTGGATGCTCTTCTGCGAGAAGTACTGCGTTGAACAGCCACAGATCTGGCTGGGCATGGGCAGTAAGCAGCGTCGGCTCCTGGTTGTCCGTCCTGTCCTGGGGTTCCAGCCTCTCCATCTTGTCCTGGTTGTCCTGGTTGTCCATCTGGTCCTGGTGCTCCTGGAGCTCCAGCCTCTCCTGGTCCTCCAGCGGCTCCTGGTTGTCCGTCTTGTCCGGCTGGTCCGGCTGGTCCTGGTGCTCCGGCGGCTCCTGGGGTTCCAGTAGATCTTTGTCCGTCCTTTCCTGGTGCTCCTGGTTGTCCATCTTGTCCTGGGCTCCTGGAGCTCCAGCATCTCCGACTGGTCCGGCTGGTCCTGCTGGTCCTGGTTGTCCGGCTGGTCCGTCTTGTCCTGGTTGTCCATCTGGTCCAGCTGGTCCGTCTGGTCCTGGAGCTCCGGCTGGTCCTGGTTCTCCGGCTGGACACTTGATGCAACCTCCAGCTTCAGACGAGACTCCAACAGAGACACCGCTGGCTCCTGGCTTTCCAGCATCTCCTGGATGTCCATCATCTCCTGGGGCTCCTGGAGCTCCTGGTGGTCCTGGTGGTCCAGCTGGGCATCCGGAAGATTGAGCTCCGCAGTTGCATTGTCCGGCTTGTCTCTTAGCACGTCCGAAGAGAATCTCAGATGGAGCACGAGTGCGCTCAACCATTCCATGCCAGGCTCCACGTTCGTTCAGCTGGAAATTATAAAATTGTAAGCAGAAGAAGATCAAATGAATTACCTTGAACTCATCCATAGTTTCCATGGTCTGATCGTAGAACTCATTGATGTCGTTGAAGATGTATCCAACGGTGAAAACGCATCCGAGGATAGCGAGACCGCTCAAGAAGCTAGCGCCGTACACAAGAGTCTTAGCTGACATTGTTAGATGGCAGTGGTTATTTGACAGCCAACCTATCCTTTTATACCTAGCTTATTACAACGTCGCCTACACTTCCGTGTGTGGTTACACTGTGAACAACGGGGAACAAGCCACAACGACGTTTCGAACGACAAAAAAGGCGATAAGAGGAAGTAAGCTGAATGTTTAAAAATTTTGAATGTTCACATCTTCTCTATGATTCCGTATCGAATTATTTTATTTTTTGTGGAATACAACATAACGAATCAGAAATCTGGTAGGTAAATGGATGAGTATCCTTGCACAGGTTATTATGATTATTATTAGACGGAAATGCTTACTAGCAGCGAAGTGCATATTTCTTGAGGTAGGGGGTAAAACGAGTAGTTTTAAAAGAATCACGATTAAACAGGCTAAATTAATTAACTGATAAATTAATTATATTGTCTCTCTCATCGAAGTTTTGCATATAATGATTAGAAAGGACTATGAAGTGATAACTAATCGAGATCGTATCATAACGTTAGAATAACTAGACGATGACTGTGTTCAATAAGCGATGGGGGAATTATTTAAGTTTAGTATATACAGATAAGTTCGGAAAAACTAAAATACAAGCAATCAATGGGATCTAGTAGTGATTTCGTCTCCACCGCTTCGCTCCTCTTTTCCCGCCGCCTCTTCCTCCTCTTGGGCTCTGGAATTTTTGAATGATCAGTTGACAATTTTCAAACTTCTATACTTGTCGACGGGCCAATAGCGGTCCGGCTGAAAACTCGCTTCAAAATTGAAGTTGAGCAAAACAGCATACCAGATGGTAGAGTTCTACAACCACCGATAAGAATTGACCGACTTTGAAGGCGGTATTATGTTCCAGTCTGGCTTAGCTGGCACACACCCGGTTACTGATTCAAATGTTGGATGATTCTGATCGAAGGTTGTAGATCTTTTGCCGAGCTCTATCATGTGGTATGTTGTTTTCCCCACGATTTCAATTTTGAAGCTAATTATCAGCCAGTACGGAATCAGCCCGTTGACTAGTACGCAAACATCCAAAACTCACCGAAAATCGTTCAGCTTCTGCTTCTGCATGCATCCACGGTTCTGGGTCTTCTTCTGCAACTGGCTCCGCAACTTCCTCCACATTCAAACGACGGAAATTGTCTTTGAACTCTTTCATCACCAGCTTTTGGTCCGAAGTCAGGTTACGACGTGGTGCTGCTGCCGTCCACTTTGCAACGTCATGAATCTCCTCCAATGTGGCGAATACGGCACTTTCAACTCTCCGAGAATCCATCGAACTCGACCCTTCTTGCATTCTTCGTTCACATTCTTCATTGAAAATCTTCTTGAAATTCATCTGCATCATGAAGATAGGATGACACAATCCGACGTCTTCTGGCTTTGGAACGATTCGTTGTGGTTTCGGTGGTGCTGCAGAGGTTGAAGGCATGTTGGAGGTGGAAGGCTCATCGAAGAGCTCAATGTGCCTATTCGCATATTTTCCTCTCGGTTGCTTTTTCGGCGAAGCTTTGGGGCCTTTCTTCTGATAACGACCACCGACTGATTTCTTCTTCTGTTGTGCTGGTGGCGGTGCTGGTTCTTCTCGTGGCATCTGCTCTCCTGATTTCCGCTTCTTTCCTTGATTGATTAGATATTTCCGCGGCCTTCCGCCTTTTTGGACAATTTTGAATCCGTCGGGAGATTTCAGAAATCCTTTTTTGAGTAGGCCAACAGTGAACGTCTCCCACTCTCGTTGAATTTCATCCGTCTCTTGCTCTTGATCCACAGCGCTTCGTCGTTCTTCTATCGTTCGCTGAAACAAAAAAATAGGAGTGAACGTTTTCTAGTAGAGAGTTTTCGGTTTAAGAAGCGCAGGAATGTGTCTCCTCACAAAAACAACCTCGCACTCGCGCTCTATTGAGGCAAAGCCAATTTCCACGAAAGTCGCTTGTGTGGTAGCGGTTTGGGATTGCGTTTTTAGTTCAGAGTCAAGAATTATATAGCAAAGGAACTAGAAGCAGTTTAAATCATTTTCTTTCTCAATAATAACCGATCGAAACGATGAATACTTACGTTACGGAATTGCTCCTCCATTTGTTCTGGAGTCAGTAGCTGATCAGTTGTCACTCTTCCTCCATCCATTTTATACCTTTTCAAGAGCCACAAGCCGACAAGAAAAAATTGAGAAAGTGCGCGGAAGTGTGTAGAAGAAATCAGCATGAGTAGGAAAGTGGGAAGATCGTCCATCTCGTAGTAGTTGGTGATTGCGGAAGAAACAGCAATTTCGTTCTCATATGCAATACCAACCAAAACAGCTAAGATGAAACATCCGAACATTAGCTTCGGTCTGTTTGCATCATAGACCATGGTCTCTTCCGTTTGATGTTCAGATTGCACAGGTGCCAAATGAAGTGTAAATAGTAGTTGCCAATACACAGAACGGACGAGCTTCGGATTACAATGCATAGCGTCCCAATCCAAGTCCGAATCTAACATTTCACACAAATATTTCTTCAAAATATGATGAATTACGCCATCTTCTGAACGAAACTCCGGAATTGTGATGAGAAGATCCACGAGGACGCCGAAAATGTTTACAGTCGGGATTGTTGCGCTGGGAGCTTGCAGAAACCTCGTTTGGTTGGCCAAATTCATGAAACTTGTGAATTTTTGCTGTAAATGAATAAATAAACTGCAGAAAAACCAGAACGAAGAATAAAATTACCATTGGAGGTTGTTCTTCGTCCTCTCCTATTTTATTGAACACGATGGAAGCATATTCACAATGAACGAGTAGAGCTGACCGAATGATTTCAAACTGATGACGGCGCACGGACGGTTCTTCATCAATCCATCGATCAAAATCGGTCCAGAGAGCTTTTCTGCAATAATTTATTTTGAGAAAATGATTCAAATGATTTTCAATTACCTTCTTAGTAACAAATTACTATGATTATCAGCTAACCGCAGTCTAGAACAATTCCTGTCTGACATTTTGTGGTTCTATGAGGACCAGCCTGTAAAATTGAAACTTTGAAAGAAAAATGCAAATTTAACCGGTAGAAAAAAAATAATTAACGGATAGAAATTGACAAATAACAAGCAATATAAAAATTTGTATTCGAAATAACATAATTTTATTTAGATAACTTGTTTTCCGAAATTCAAAGCGATGTTGTTACATTTGCAAGTTTGTAAACTGTTGATCTTGTCCTCGAGGAATACACGAGCATGGAAATGCCGCTAAACCCCGCGCGCGCCGGAATAGCGGAGCGTCGTAAATTCAAGAAATTTGGTGTAAAATTTTCGATCTTCGGATTTTCAAACCAAATTTTGGACAGTCTCGAGAAGTAATCCTGTGCTTTCAAATACAAAAAATTTTAATGCATTGTCGTTCAATGATCTACTTACATTCTCGCTGTGATGTGATCAGTTCTTCGAGTTTGATGAGCTTGTCTTCTTGCTTCGGTTCATTGCATGTCGTCACATCATCACCGTGTTCTTCGCGTACGAAAAAAGATGCATCGAAAGATCCTAAAATATATTGTGAATGTTTCTGGAAAACAGCTTTTTGCTTCGTATTTCAGAAATTCAGATATTTTCTAACTGCTGACGCTCGACTGATCGACTTTCAAGTTGAATGTTTCGATCAACGCTGACATTATATTGAGGAAAAAAATCGGCTACAATGTATCTTTTCCTGATTTGCAAAACGAAAAAAAGATAATCATAAACCAGAGTCAAACCATAATTAGACCAGGTGGCTGTGATATGATAATTTGTTTCCAATAAAAGCATTCGGTTGGTCACATCCACAGATTCAGTGAATGTAACTTCTCGTAGCAATATGCGCCAGGCATGGATTCACCCAATGTTTCTCTTATTTCTGAATAGTATTGAGAGCAAAGTTTCTCTCACCTTTGTCTCGGATACGTCTTCACTTTTCTATAAATCAATTTTCATAAAAGATGAAGTCGATGAAGGTGAAATTTAAAGATTTTTCAAGGGTGACAAAAAATCAATTTTTTTTGCAATTTTAGCCATTTCGACAAACACTTCTCTCAAGTTTCGTATATCCTCTTCTGAACCCGTTCATTTTGGCTTCCTAAAATGTGGGGTCTACAGTCTGGCTACAACTTCGAAGATTCGCGAAGGATCATACATTTTCAATGGGTTAAATCTAAAAAATATGGATGAAATGATAAATCGAAGTTGTGCTAGTGATAGCCACACTGAATCGTGAGTTGTTTATTATCCTGGTACAGACTGTGGAAGAGAAACGCCAGTGTTCGTGGCCAAAGGTCGTACAACGACAACTACCGTAACCTAGAACATTGTTATCTTCTGGGTTCATTATCTCGATTTTCGCGCGTTTTCAGTCGATTTCCCGTCTTTTTTTCATGAAAATAGCATAAAACTCGACGAAAATCAGTAAAAATGGAGGAAATAACCACGGAAATGTTTTTAAGGTTACGGTAGGTATCGTTGTGGGGGACCTTCGGCTACGGTCACCGGCTCCAATTTCGTTGCACCAGAATAAAACCTCTTCGATTTTCATTCATTATAATTTTAGCTTTGACATCGCTATTCACTCAAAAGTTCCAACAAAATTGGTGTTAAACTTCGAATCCATACCAAATGATGCAATGGAAAAATCTTCTCGAAACCGTAATTTCGTATTCAGAAAAAAAAATCAATTTCAATTTCAGTTCGCTCTATGTATCCACGCACAGTTAACTTTGAAGTCGATGCTTTCAGTTCATTATCCTATCCGATTCAAATAAAATCACTTGTTCGACGAGTTCTCAAAAATAACGGAAGTGTTCTTCATGTCCATGGTAGTCCAGCAGAATACACCATGCAACGGTGTGGTTGGGAGGTACCAGGACTAGAAGTATACGATAGAAATGGAGCAGAAGCAATTTTTCAACTAGTCGATGTTTCTTGCGAGAACGAGTGGCTTGTGGATACAGTCAACATTCATATTAAAAACAGTGGGACTGAACTCATTTCTGGTTTTTTATACTTCAATATAACATCTACGGATTATAATATCACTGAAATAATTTCACTTCAACCAATTCCAAGCGAACCGATTCGACCATTCCATGTGATCAGTTACAAAAAGCAATCCTTATATTCTTGGTGGATGATCACTGGATTCCTGATTGGAGCTTTGTTTCTAGGTGATCCTTTTTAATCAAGTTGATTTTCATCAAAATAAAATTTTAGCAGTTGTTCTCTGTCGCCTTACCTGGAAAATTTACATCCAACTATTCAGAAGTGATTCTTATGATGTGGCAAAGGCAGAACGCTACAGAATGTCTTCAGTTGTCTCCTATGATTCTGGAGTGGAAGTGGAGCTGGTTCGATATCATTCAAAGGACGAATCGATTTATTCTTTTTGAAACTTCTCTTATTTACAAGTGTGTATATACAGTTGAAAGGCATAGAGAGCATCGGGTAGATATTTGGAGAAATAAAGCTTGAGAAACGGGATGGAAGGAGATTTTGAACAAAGTGTAGTCTTTGGAAAAAGCCGATAAACAAGAAAAGAAGAAGGGTAAGAACATAGGAAGGTAAGAAAGGAATGGAAAGAAGGCTAGGAGAATGTAACCTGGAAGCTGGTAGTGGATGTATTAATAATGAGTCCGATTCATCTTTTCATGAAATTGACAATCTGGTCCCGTCGGATGTCCGGGCAGTTGGCAAGTCGATATTCCTCTCGGCCAACTGTAGTTGTCCAATCCGGATTGCGAAAGATGAAGTCGTGCTCCAGTTGACTTTGCTGATCTTTCTGAAACGAAAAATCATCAGCAAACACCAATGATCTAATTTCACCTACAGTAATCTTCTTCCGTTGCTGTAGTTTCTGTCCTGGTGGCCGTGGCAATTTGCTTCTCTCGTCCTTTTTGATACGCCTATTGGCCTGAAACTTGACTATACTATTTTCCTCTCATCTTTATTCACCTTTTCGTAATGAATCCCAGTCTCATCAGCAATATTCTGAACATCCACCGATCCTTGTGGAAATGGGCCGACCCGAATTCTGTTGTCAATTGTCTTGCATTCTTTTTTCTGTGATTAATTTTTGTTTATGATCAAATCGGTTTTAGAAGGGATTCCGATGGTCCGTCGGTAGTCCGTCAGCGGTCCGTCGGTTCTTTTTCGGCTACCAATTAGCAGTCATATAGAGATATTGAGTAATTCGTAAAAATGCCGAAAATTTCTCACCAATGAAATACGATAAAAATTCTGAAGAAATCAATACACTTACAGTGATTCTTTCCATATTCCGACGTCTCTTTGGATACCTCTCCTTCTCTTTCTCCCATTCTTCCTCCTTCTTGAGATTTTTCAGCGCATCGATCATGTATTTCGATGCTTGGCCCCTCTTAATTAATTTCCGATATTCCTCGTATTTCTGGGATCTCGTCTCAATCATCGAACAGGATTTCTTCAAAGCGGGTCTCGCATTTTGACTGGGTGACGATGATGCTTGTTTTGTAACCTGAAATCAAAGGCGAGCGGACTTAAGTTGGAACTTCTTTTTTTTTTTCTAAAACTCACATCAGATTTGGATTGGGTCCTGACGCATGATGAATCGGAGACTGATCTCGAGATGGGTGGATTCTGAAATCAAGAAGCTTTAATAATCATTTCGAACAAAAAGAAAAAAATCTAACTTGTTGCTTCTTGGTCACTTTCAAATTTATGTGACAATTAGGATTCTGAGTGATCCCGCTGTGGGTTTTCTTCTGAAAAAGTTATACTTAAAGACTGGAGTAGATGATTTATTGGTTCGTATTCATCATCACATACATATTTATCTCTGCTTTTGCAGACGTCATACTCTTTTATTTTATTAAAAACTCACCATGAGATTGATGGATTCAGACTGGGTGAGCTTCATAGAAAAAGTCACTTTCTTCTGAAGGGATCTCGAATCACTTCGAGAAATCGATACAGATGGTTGTATCTTCTTGTGAGTCTGAAAATAATGGTCACTAGGAAACGAGAAGAATCTTATGGGGACAAGATAATCCCTCTGGAACTTACCATGGTTCTATTGAACTTTGCGACGGATCTGGTTGATTCCCCGTCGTTTGTCTTGAAGCTGCTCGAGACACTACGCATTCTCTTGTCCTCAGTATCCATAGGTTTAGGCTCGGTGTAGAGAATATTTTTATGGAGCGTCGAGGAAATGTTCATATGTGCCGCCTGCTGTACAGTGCGTTTCATAAGTATAGGTTCACCCTCGGTAGACAAGGTGGGAAATCTTGGAGGTTTGGGGTTGTTATAATATTAAAGTCCATGTAAAAATACATATCGCCCAGAATTTTTAGACCGCTACTACAAAAAATAAATTTTTTATGTCAGAAAAAATCTTTTTTTTGAAAAACGAGCGTTTCATAAGTATAGGTTCACCCCCGGAAAATTTAACATTAACAAAGTTTTATTCAATTCAATACTTTGTGGGATTTCCACCAGTGGAAATAATAGAAAACAAGCGGTTTGGCATGGAATTTAACCACTTCTGGAGGTAAGGCTTCTTCAGGTTCTTCCATGCGTCCACGATGGCAGTTTGGAGCTCAGAAACGGTCTGGTATTGCTTTCCCTGACCATATACGACGCGCACGAGTTCAGCCCAAACATTCTCCATTGGGTTCAAATCCGGCGAACAAGCCGGCCAATCCATCACCTTGATTTTTTTGGACTTGAACCAGTCCAAAGTCGATCTGCTCGCATGAATCGAAGCATTGTCCTGTTGATATGTGAGCTGACGCCTATGAAACGGCGAAGATATGGGATCAGTTTGGCAGTCATGACATCCTGATAGTCTGTCGAGTTCATTCTGAAGGAGACGAACGCCAAATCCACAGTACCGGCAGAAGAGAATGCTCCCCAGACCATAAGACGACCACCACCGAAGTTACGCTTGGAGAAATGGAGGGGATCCTTCTTCAGGTCGTGCCAGTAACTGTTGAAGCCGTCCGGCCCGTCCAGATTGAACTTTTTTTCATCGCTGAAGATGATCTGTAATAAAAAAACAGCATAAGTGATGATTTCAAAAGCATTCCATACCTTATCCCAATCAGTTGCCATGTTGTTCCTTGCAAACTGAAGTCGGTTCGCCTTGTGAGCATCGGTGAGCATCGGCGCGGACATTAACTTGGCTCGGACAATGTTCTGATTGCTGTCCAGTGTTCTCCAGACCGTTTACTTGCTCACATCCAGTTTCAGCACATTCTTTATGTCGTTACAGCTCTTCATCGAATTGGATGCCAGTCTGATGATGCTTCTCGTGTCTCGATCCGTCAATTTTTTCGGAGCTCCGCTCTTCTTGTTGGTCTCGTAGTGGTCCGGATTGTTAACAAACGTATTAATACAATTGAAAGACCGTCCTAACCTAGCTGCGATGCGCCGATTCGACCATCCAGCCGTTTTGAACGCGTCGATCTGAGCTCGCTCCGAATCCGAGAGATGAGTGGCTCGCGGCATAAGAAAAACGAAGTAAAAAACGCAAAAATAGTTAAAAACAGTAAAAATAGTTAAAAAGTTATCACCTATGTGAAACTGTAATTTTTTTCAAGGGTGAACCTATACTTATGAAACGCTCGTTTTTCAAAAAAAAGACTTTTTCTGACATAAAAAGTTTATTTTTTGTAGTAGCGGTCTAAAAATTGTGGGCGATATGTATTTTTACATGGACTTTAATATTATAACAACCCCAAACCTCCAAGATTTCCCACCTTGTCTACCGAGGGTGAACCTATACTTATGAAACGCACTGTAGTTCTTTTAGAGATTTGTTGAAAAATCCACAAACTTACATTGGATCCCACCTGAAGTTGCTTGTAATCGAACTCTGGCGGCGGCAGCAGTACTGGAGTGAGCTGGTATTTTGGAACTGAGGAAGAAGAAGAAGATGGAGAATTCATCGAAAGACTCTGAAAACACGATTTTCGATTCTCCGTGCAAACTTGCGCTACGTTTACTAGCGCGCCTACGCTTGTCTATGCAATTTTATAGTTTCGCTCAAGAACCACCTTGGCGCGGTGCCAGGAATAAAATGTGGGAGGCCAAGCCGCACCCAGAAAGAAAAAACAGTTCAGCTACCGCAGAAGAGGTAGGATAGAGTAGAAAATTTTGAAAAAAAACGTCAATCATCCCCCGGTCAAAATTTAAAACCAGTTTTAAACTCACTTTGTATCCATCCGAAGAGAAAGCAACATCCGGAATCCATGATTCCCTCTTGGCAGTAGACATATTGACCGTCGCTTTTGATGAACTACCCGAACTGAATTTCGATAGATTTGATTTTAAATTGATACGACCAAAACAAACGTAGATTCGAATACCATAAAGAGAACCCCACACGGCCAAGTTGGAGCTCAATTATCTCAATTCCTAGGCAAGATATCAAAATTATGTTAAATGAAAAAAGTTTGTGATATTATGATGAGTAATTTATCAGTTGACAACTTTTAGATATCTTTTACATGAAGTGAGATAATTAAGCACAAATTGCACATATACTGTGAGCTTCAATTAGAGCAGACACAGTGGAAATATAGGACGAGTGCTCTATTTTATTACTTTTCTTTCTATTTTGCCTACTGGTTCTGTTTAAGTAATACCTGAAACAATGAAATCTAATGGGTACGGTAATAAGCTACTGTATTGATAATTGCGAGGGTAAATAATTCGAAGTGTCAATCGATTCGGGGGATACAACATTCTAAATTTTTCTATATTTTGTATCCTCGAGTGGGATCCTCAGACCACAAAATTTTTGTACCCTCAGAATGATTTGCAGAGTTTGTCACTTGCGAAGGAGGGGGCACTTGAGAAAAGAGCTGGTTGGTGTTCAAATTTTCTCTGAAACAGGAGTGCAAGAGCTTTGACTAAAGTTAATGACCTTGAGACACGATTTTGTAGTTCTAAAAAAAGATTTTGCATGAGAAACAAACATTCCCAAACAAGGTTTGAATAATTGTTGGTGGCGTGCATAGATTCACTTCTGTTTCGTTTTCGATAAGCTCCGTCTTTTTTTCAAAAGGTTGGATGCTGATTTATTACTGCTCTACGAGACTGCTGTCAGCAAAAACTGCTACATGGGGATTGGGGAAAAGCTAATCAAGCCAAAGATTAGACCGCAAAAAATGTTTTAGAATTTGAAAAATGATGAAGAATGGCATTCGATGAAAACGAATGCGAGGGGCGGGGGGAAGGAGAGAGAGAGAGAGAGACATGGATTTCGTATTCGCAGATGGTTGTCGAGAACGGAAAATCACAAGGTTCCAGTAAATTTTTGGGAAGTCAAGTGGGAATGGAGAGGAATAGATGACGGTATGAAATGGGCGGAGACAGCTAGGCTGTCGGCTGAAGAGAAAGAGAAATCAGATGGAGAGGGACATGGTACGTGAGTCAGCAAGTGAAATCAGTTAGTAAGCAAACAAAAGAAATAGCGAAATTTGAAATTTGAATTCAAGTTGAAAGGGGTGATGTAGAAAAATGGAGAGAAGGTGGTGATTGGATGGAATTTATGATGGTTAAAAGAAGAAGGTCACACTTGGATAGTGTTGATATGTAATGGGTCAGTACTGGATATGCTCGGACAGGCCGTAGTCCGCGTCTTTGTGGCTGTCCGTTGTCCATGGAAAATAACTTTTCGTCGGTTGTCCGTGCATCTCTAGTGCGCAACGACTACGTAAAAAGTTTTAGGTGTCTTCAGTTATCAATGTACTTGAAATTCGAGAAAAGTGGCTGAGCAGTATGCCTAGTTAACGGCATAGGTTTGTTCCGAAATTATGTGCTCTAATATCTGGCTACATAAAATATAAACACCCAATCCATTCTGAATATTCAACGATCAGTCTTCACCCGACTAATCCTCTACAGAAACCCATGCTTCGCATTTGTCCCATAATCAAACTATATGATATTTCTGGAAAGACAGTATTAGAAATCCAAAAAATTCCCACAGTCTATTGTATTTTTCTCTACTTTCTCAAATGAAAACCCATCTGTCACGAGTTCAGAAGAGTGTATTGTATGTCCCATTTTTATAGTTGTACCTTGCAACTTGTAAGGATCTTGAAAAGTTGAATATGTACTATTCAATATACCCCCCCCCCTCCAGAAAATGCTTCAGAATTTACTGGCACTCATTGATTGGAAAAATGTTTTCGCGTTCAGACTTGTTACGAAATGTTTATGTTTCCATTCGTTAGTCATAACATATCGTTCTTTATTGAAAACAAAATGCTGACTGTGAGGTCAGGAAAAGAAAAATAAAGAAAAAATAGAATCAGAACAATTTGGAAACCTTCTCTCGTAATCGCTTGTTTTGTCTCCATTGGTTAGCGTAGTTCATGATCTGAAAAATTTCCATTATATATTTCAAGGATGTGCCATGACAGGCCGCGGCTTTTTGGATAAGGTACTTCTGGAATAGATCGGAGGGCCTATTTTTTGTCCTCCTGGTTTCTGGGCCACTGAGCTTGTTCTTGAGAGAACGGGCTGGTTTTGTCCACGGCAACTCTCCAACGGCCAGCTGCGGCCGATTCTAAAGTGTACTTACCTTGGAACGATCTATTGGCATTTTCAAAACATGAACAGCAAAATGTGCAACGGCAGTACACCAATGAGAGTCAATTCGATCGGAGAACTTGGATAATATGTCGAGAACATGCTTTTCATTAAGCTGAAACTCATTCCAAAATTTTCGAAACAATTTCCGTTCACTACCATACCTAAACTTCACCTACCGTAATTCGTTTTGCTCTTGACGTATCCAGGATCACTGGTTGAGAAAAACTTGGTATTTCTCCATTGGATCGGACATGTCTTGTCACTGATTTCCGAATTTGGACTATCACACTTTCGTATGGTTTGAAAACAGATGGCTTGTAGTTAGCCATTGTTGTTCCTGAACAGTGAAAAAACATAAAAATCAAATAATGAAGAAGAGAAGAGTAATTGTACAAAAGATTCATTTCCTCTGAATTGCCACCAAACGATAAGGCGATAACTATTTGAAAAAAAAAAAACTAGAATTGCGTAGATGTGCAGTGATAAATGAACACGATTCGAGGCACGGTGATAGCATGATGGGGGAGGGCGCAGTGTGGAATGAAACGAAGAAAAAAACGCTTGAAAACGTTTGATGCAATAAGATAAAACTTGAGGCAACGAAATGAGAAAGTGCAAAGTTTTTTGATCGACGACGAGTTTTATGAGATGAAAAAACCTTAAAGGGGGACTCCGACCAAAAATTTTTTTGCATTAAAATGTGTTAAAATTTATTTGTTTTTCAAATATTATTGCAAAACAATTCAAAGAAAATCTGAAATCCCCGAAAAACGGCGTTGGAAAGGAAGAAAATTCAAAAAAAAGTGTCGCCGGAGGACGAGGATTTTCAGTGAGAAACCTAGGCCACAGCACCTGACAGCCTTTTTTTAAGTCGCCGACAGTGGTTTTTTACGTTTTTTACCTGCCGGACATGAAATTGAAAAAAAATCCAGAAAATTTGCCACGTAGGAATGGCGCCCGCTGCCGTGGCCTAGGTTTCTCACTGAAAATCCTCGTCCTCCGGCGGCACCTTTTTTTGAATTTTCTTCCTTTTCAACGGCGTTTTTCGGGAATTTCGGATTTTCTTTGGATTTTTTCGCAATAATATTCGGAAAATAGATAACTTTTAACACATTTTAATGCAATAAAAATTTTCGGTCGGAGTCCCCCTTTAATTCAAATTTGAAATAATATAACTTCCAGCTTTGAGGTCACACATCTCGGTTCCTGTGACAGATATCAAGAAGCAGTTAACTGACAAAACGTTCATTATGATATTAAAATCGTTTTGTCAGTTATCTACTTTTTGATATCTTTCACGGGAACCGAGATAAATTGGCTCAAAAGGCAAGTATAGGTGGTGTTCAATTTGAGCGTTTACTGTAATTCAACTTGACGAATGTGATACGAAAGAAAAGTTCTGAAAAAATGGATCTTGGGAATTTCTAATTTGAAGAGTGCCAGGATTTGCTGAAAACATTACGAAAACTAAGTTTTCAATTGACACATGGACCGCAATAAAAGAGCCATCCATCTTTTCATTTTTTTAAATGAATAATTTTTGAATGTCATTCTCGACCGTATACAACTTGTATATTGACAAGAATGGTTTTACAAATGGTTTTACAGTAGTTGATGAATTTTGCCATCTTTCACGACATACCGTAGATCCTTGATTTTGATTGGCATGCCTGATTTTCTGCTCTCGACATATTTTTATAACTCAATTGTAAAAAATACAAATTTATTATACAATTGAACTATTCTACATTTTGTGAGATGAGATGTACGAGAAAAATTAGTGACAGAAAAAAACAAACAAAGAGAAATTATGAACTAGTCGGTATCTATTTTTTGGTGGATCTTTTATAACGTCTTATCGGTTTTCCCATTTTCAGACGTCTTTGCTCAGCAGTGATCCTATTGAAGAAGCTCTTTACCTAGAATCAAAAAACATGATTGATAAAAACCTTTCAAAATCTTACCTGATAAAGCGAAATGTTGGTTCTCTCACTAATTTTTCTCTTCGAATGCCTATCCGGAGGACTCGTGGCTAGACGATTCGCTTCGAATTCCAGAATCATCGATGCCTCCGTCTGAAAAACAAACAAAATATGATTGAAATGTCTTGCGACACGGTGAATGAACCGTTATTCGCTGCCTGTATTTGGTACCTGGTCTAGGTCCCTTTTTAGATGGTCCTTTTGTGCCGGGGGCCGTCTGAAAAAAAAAAATCAAAAATTAACACATGAAGATTTTTGTAAAAGTAACCGGTTTAGAAGCTTCTGTTACTTTTTGCTTTCTCTTTGTAGCACGTGAAGGTTTTGATTTCGCTGGCGGATGTACCAGTATCATTGGATGATTCTGATGTGGGTCAACTGGGGGATTGGGAATTGGGAATTGAGAGAAAACGATTCCTGGACTCATGTATCCCATGAATGGCTGTGGTGGACCATGCATCCAAGACGGATGGACATGGGAAGGGGAAGGAACTGCATTGTGCACTGTTTCTGGGACTGCAGCTGGCAATGATAAGGATCGTGAAAGTTCGTGGTTTCTGGGAGGATTCCGATTTCCCATTTTTGACTGGTTCTGCTGGCTTTGCATCTGGTCAGAAGATTCCATAATTTGACAGCAAGATGCTACGAAAACCTTCGAAAAGTTTTCAAAGTGGGAGTGGAAGATCCAATTCTTCATATACGACTCAAAATCCTGATAGTCGGAAATGGGCTGCGAAAGTTCAGGATGTTGCTTTAAAATCGAACACCACACACTGGTGACATAAATAGCTAAAATCAATTGGTCAGCTTCGCCATGATTAGCCAATCCAATTTGTTCCTGAAATATTTGGATGATTGCCGAAGTGATTTAAATAGAACTCACAAAGCAAACTTGTAGTATTGAAGACAAACTTCTATAACATTTCATAGCATCTCTCCTGTCGAATTTTATTCGAGCCCAGTTAACACTTGAAATCATTGGAGAAATCGCCAGATACACCTCGTGGTAATGCATACCTCGCTGAAAATTACGTTAGTTAGTTTCCCGATCCCAAAACTACTCACAACATCAGCATCCGGTATTTTTTCTAATAAAATATCCAGGAAGGTTTCATGGCTCTGAAAATTGAGAAAGTCATAAATAACTCGGAACACCGTATCACCCACCAATCGCTGCTTCTGATCAACACGTCCATTGATGAAACTTGTAGCAATCCTGGTGATAATTTCCTGAAAAATCGCGGAGAGTTGCTCATCCGGGAAAGAATTAACTCACAGTAGGTGGCACTTTATCACGCTTCGGTTCAGATATCGTTTCGATAAAAGTGATTAAAGATGATGATATGAATAGTAGTAAACTTCGAATTTTCATAGCAGTCGAGACATGCCCATATTTTATTCGATTCCAAATTTCTAGTCTAGGTTGTGGGATGGTTGGGGGTCGTCTGAACAAAAGTGGTCGATTGAAAACTGTTGCTATTGAAAAGCGATTAAAAAACATACGATTCTTGTGTTGGCGTTCGTTGGCTGTCAATCTCTTTCGAAGGGGTTCCAGAGGAAGATGGACCTTCTTCTGATTCTGTTGACTCCATTTTGGTAACTTTGTCTGGAAACTTCTGGAAGAAGATTCAGTTTCACAAAAAAAAAACATTGAGAATTAATAGAAGTCTTGTTGATAAGATGATTAATTATCAGTTTCATTAAGTAATTACATCTCAAAGAATAAAAAAGTCCAGCTGATTCCGCCTAGGTTCGGGAGAAAACATGCTCATCTGACATGTCAACTTTAAACAAAGGAAAAAGGGGAAGAAACCGAGAATCGAAAGTGGCACACACGGCAATGGTTTTTCAAACTCAGAAGGCGAAACTGATAATGAACTGCACTTCTCTTTCTCTCAATTTTCCTTTTCTTGTTCTCTTCCACTCTCGTCTCACCGTATGATGGTGATGGTAACTGATAAAGTAGAAAAGAAAACGATCGTAATGGAGATTAATTTCCATTTCGGAACTCACAATCAAACAGGTTTTATTTCATGTGTGTTACTTGGTATCATATATTCGAAGAAGAAAAACATGGAAAAAGAAACAAGGGAGGCGGCGAGAAAGCGTGCTACGGTATCAGCTATCGAAAGCGGGAAAGCAATAAATGAGTTTTTCAAAAGATCATTAGAATGTACACATCGGGAAGAAAAGGATATGTGTCCTTGGAACACAGAAAAAGAAAAAGAAATTGAATCTCAGAGAAAATGGTACACGAGAAGAAGAACATGGTTATCAAAAATGATTGGTTTATTATCAGTGATAATTGGCTTCAAGGATCACGTCCTAGAAGTGCTGGCCCGTTGTTGTTTGCGGTTGTCATACTCTTCACGCCAACGCTTGTCTTCGAAATAAGCATAGATCTGAAAAAGGAGGATATAAAACTGTTGTCTGAGTTTCTGAATCTTCACCTGCTCTCCGGAACTTATTCCCGCCTCAGCAGCAATCAGCTCACACTCGTTACGGCTTGGCTTGCGATGACCTGCTTTCCAGAGTAAATCCAGTTTGTCTCTGTCGTGTTTCTGAAAAAATATAAGTTATCATTGAAAACCAGAAGCTAGGGATTACTGTAAGATCTCTCGCAATGAGCGCCTCGTCTTCATTATCACTGTCGTCTTCATCACTGTTCTGCTTAATCGACTTCAGCTTTTTCCAGACTTGGATAGTTTCTAAAGCCAAGGTTTCTTCGTCTTTGAGACCGCTGAAAAAAAACTCGATATCTTTAATTACAGCCAGATTTAAAACTAACCGATATCTGTTGTACTCGCGTCTGCGCCGTTTGTCGAAAAAGCCGTAAATTTGAAACGGCTGCAGTCTTGGCAAGGCTTTTGCCAGAAGAATGCATTCTTTAGCACTGACATGACGGTTACCAGCGTTCCAGTAGCGGCAGAGGATATGCCGTTCTTCGGCCTGAAAATAAATTGTTACATATTTCGATCGATTACTGTAGTCACCGTCATCTGGAATGGGGACGGTAATGGTGCAGGCATCTGCTGGTAGTAGTAAGATTTGAATGCTTCACGATATGACCAGAAGATGGCCGAGTAGAAGAGAGGCTCTTCGAGCAGATGGGAGGTCGTCGGGTAGATAATTTGTAGCTCGAAGTTCTAAAAAAATATATAATCAAATTTTTTCTTAAGATATTGGAACTTACTTGTTCATGCATTGCCATGCATCTTGCCATTGCAGCGATAGTGATTGACATCTCATGGGCCAGATGGGGAGGACTGATTGTCTGAAAAAGAAAAAATTATCCAGGAAACAGTTCAAGTGTTGAATACTTCAAGGGATGGAATTTGAGAATGAAGGTATTCCGAGTAGCGAAGTACGGACTTGGCATCGAAATCGTATGGAGCACCATCTACGAATTTCTCGTAGTTCTAAAAATTTTAAAATCTATCACTTATTTCTATTTCAAAAACCTACATGAAGCTTTCTAAGAATATGTTTCATGAAGTTGCTCGTGGGTTCGTCCACCGGAAGAACCTGAATTCCATTACGAAGACATTTATGCGTCAAGCTTTTCGGATTAGCACATGGCGAAGCGATACGATCCACTGCAATGCTTTCAGCCACGATTGGATCAACTCCTGTTTTATGGAGGTTGTTGAGAACCGAAGTTAGGGAATTGAAGAAAACCGGAGTGTCGTTGGACGTTGAAAGTCCTGGTTCCGGCTCTTCTGCTGGCATAAATGTGGAAGAGGTGGAGGTCATCGACGAACAAACTCCTAATAATGGATATAGAAACTCTTCGTAAATTGACAAAGGCGAATTGCTACTGGATGATGAGGTCCCTTCTCCAGCTTGCACGGCAACAGAGCCAACTGCTTGGAGAGCGGATGCTAGCTGTCTGGAATGAATTCTCATATTTACTCTATCACACCCTATCATGAAATTTTCCCCTCGGTCTATGGTCAGTTTTCCGAAAGATCTCCGAGTGTTCGTGTTATCATCATCACAAGAGCGTCTATGAAATATGAATGATATCTGCCCTCTCATTATCTCTAGACGTCCTCGAAACCCATCGAATGATTATGTGTCGCAATCATTTGTTACAGGTTTTACGGTATGTAATCAAAACTTTTACTTCTCATCATTTAGAAACTTTCGCCCCGATCTCTTTTCGTCGTCTCCGAACAAAACCTATCTTTTGTGGAATGGGTTCTGGTGAACCTTCCCCATTATCAGTTCTTCTTCTGTTTTCAATTCTTTCTTTTTTGATTATTTTCCCAACACAAAAAAAGATACACGACTACAATTGAAGAAAAAAAAATCAGTTTGACTTAGAATTGAGAACAGTTCGAATCTTCGTCTTCGTCTGTGTTGTGTATCATATGATTTTGATTCGGTTGTCGAGTCTCCTCTCCTCTCGAACCGAAATGATAAGAAACAAAAAACGCGACAGTTGTGTGTTGCTAATTCACAAACTTTATGAAGTTCAGGTTTGTTGTCTGAAACATACCTCACGACACTCTCTTGAATACAGCTGAGCGCCATGACTTTCCGAAGAAGTTCAGCTGAACTATGACACGGTTTGTTGTGAGACGCTGTCAACAAGTTACGCTGAAAATTCATCTCTGGATTATCAAGGATTTTCAGATAAATCTTTTTTAGTCTTACACAAAATTCTACAGTATTAGTCTCAGCGTCGGAAAGAGCGTTTGGTAATGCTACCATAGATGGATAGAAGAGGAGGAGAAGCTGGAAAGGAAAGAAGTTGATGAAGAATGAGAGTTCGCAGAAGAACAACACACGCCCCATGGGGGGCAACCGATGCGTTTATGGACGTATCAATATAAAGACAAAAACGGCAGAAAAAAAAAGAAAAAAAGAAAAATGATAGATATTGTGTGTGGAAGAAGAGACATTGTTGTAACAATGGAGAAGAAGTGATAAGGGTGATAAGCAGCACGATTGAAAAGAACCGCGGAACCCGGCGTGCGGAAAAATGAAAAAGATCGCCGGAGAAAAGAAGAAGAAGAGAAGGCGAGGAGTTCGTTGTGATTGATGAGCGTGTACCTGTTGTGTGTGTCCTCTAGGTTGAGTGTCTATTCTAATCACTATCTTTTTAACACCCTCCCTTTTGACCATCGATGTAGGTGAAACAAATGATAGCGGGATGTGTAACACATGGGTGTTCGGTACTTCAGGATAAGGCAATCATTGATGAACGTCTTTTATAAAAGATGAAATTTGTAGTCTGTTTGCAAAGTCTACAGTAATCTTGCTAAACTTATGATACATCCTGACAAAACAAAAACTTTAGAATGTTCCCCACAAAACACAGAGTAAACACATAGTCATGATGGCAAGAAGGAGAAAAATAAGAAACATGATGCTATATTTCCGAATTGGATCATACTATCATGATAACAAAAATATCAGCAGCAGGCAATAAGAGTGGAGAGGAGAATTGAGAAAAAAATGGAATGGGTGGGAAGAAAATTATTTTGCAAGAGGAAAGAGAGAGAGAGAGAGAGAGAGAGTTCAAAAAATAAATTGGAAAGTTTCCCAGAAAAAAAAGTCACATGGTGGGAAGGTGTGAAAAACAAATCTAAGGCTTTTAGATTAAAGGACCTCGAGTTCAAAAAGTTCATGTGCCTTTTGGGTAATTTTTGAATTTTTCTAGACTGCTAAAATGCGTCATTACATATGATTAGAGAATACAGCCTGCTTGCAGCGCCTCTGACGCTTCAAACAGCTGACTGGTGCGCCTTCGGCGTGACTTGACCTTATTTCTATTGGTGGTTCGTCTCTTCGCTCCTCACTCTTTTTTAAAGGATCGAGTATTACCACGAACAGTCTAATAGACCACTCAAGCCACAATCTTTGAACTTATATATCACGGTTTCTGTAAGAGATATCAAATCGTGGTCCACTGATAACATATTTATCATAATAGTAATAATATTTGGTCAGTCGACCACTGTTTTGCATCTCTTCACAGAAATCGAGATAATTGAGCTCAAATGTCGAGAAGTTGTCAGAGAGCATGAGTTCTTTGGTTAGCATTAAAAAAACTACAGTATTCGTGGTGAAAACTCTATTATACCAGATATTTGACTAGATAGGGATTCTACGAAAGGTTTATGAAAATTTAAAGTACCAAAAAACTGTAATACAAGGGTTCTCTGACAACTTTGAGCAAATTTTTCTTGTTTTCTATGCAAGATATCAAAAATGGGCCGATTTGTAAAATGTTTATCATATTATGGTTAACATTTTATCAGTTGATAACTTTTCCATATAACAAGTAGTGATTTTCAAAAGTTTTAATTTTGGGAAAAATATTCAAAAAGTGTTAATATTTCTGGTATATTTGTTGAAAAAACACGTTGCTCCCAAAAACTTAACGGTCCATCTTTTGGGAGATTCAAAAGATTCACGTGGCTCACAAAAATTTTTGAAATTTCAGTACTTTGATGTGAAAATTAAAACTTTTGAAATTCACTACTTGTTATATCTTCGACAAAAACCGAGATAAATTAGCTCAAAGTTAAAAGTTAGGGTGGGTCTTCTAGTACAGTATCCCGGAATATCAAGAGTTGAAGGCATACTGTACACACTGAAAAGGCTCTGCTCTTCCAGCTAAAATTACAAAATCTACCCCTGCAGGGACATGTCTTCGTTATACTATAGATCCATTACAGTAAAGACGTTTCACACTAAATTCTTGACAACTAATCAGTGTAATACTGTAAGGACGAAAGTCAGTGGAAACTTTAAATTTTTTGGGCTGATTGGAAAGAGAACAATGCGGGGTCAATGTGTTTCCAATACAAACGCTTCCTCCTCTGGACATCCAACACCTGCAATAATAAAAAAAAAGCACACCACCACCCGCAACAGCAGCAGCAGTCAAATCGTCTAAACATAAACTGAAAAACGAGAGAAAGGAGAGCAGTTCGTTGTCACATTCTCAATACACATTCACTTATGTTTTTTTGTACATGTTTCTCTATTCTTTCCCGTCCCCGCGCTCCTCCACGGAATTGTTATCAAAAAAGAAAAAAGAAAAGAAAACGCTTGGTGTCTCGAAAAAGAAACATCACATACAACACTCAAAGAATAGAGGAGGAAGGTGATACATATTTCTTATTTTTCTTTTTTTCCATTCTTTTCCTGCCAAAAAGCATCATCATTTTCATCAGTCACAAAAAACACCCGCATGGGACAGATGGGATGGGGACGGATGTGCAATGATAACGGAATTGGATAGAAAAGATAGAGAATCGCTCGGAGAAATATGAATTGATGATAGAGGGAAAAAAGAACTTTGAGCTCAACACATCGGAATGGCACAATTGAGAAAAAATGAGGTGGCACAAAATGTGTAAAATTGGAAGCGTTGGAACAGGAGAGATGACACTTGAGAAATATCAAAAAGAGATGGATTCTTGTAATCTGACCTATGTTATCTGATCTGATTTTTCTAAATCAGTTTTTTTTTTGAGAAAAAGGGAACACAGACAGAATGGACAAGGTTGACCAATGAAGGACGGACAGCTGTTTCTGTTTTTAGAGTGTTGTCTACATACATATATTTGAACAAATCTCGAAGAGGTCAAGGCAAAAGAGAACGCAAAGTTTTGAAAAGCTCAACGCCTGGCTGATGTGGGAAAGAATAATTTGTCGACGTCATCAATTATAAAACTTCGAAGGAAATCTGAGAACGTGAGTGAGGATGTAGGGAGAAAAAATATTCCCATTGAGATTATATTGTTAGGTTGATGAGATTTTTCAGATGAGGTTTCTATATTTTTGAATCTTTCTACAGTTTTTTTGAAGCTTTCAAGAACTTTCTAGAGTTTTAAATAGCTTCCTGGAGCAATGTGGAGCCACCAACGTCTTCTGAAAGCTCGTGGGATACTGGATATTCGAAATGCTAAGAATCCGAAATCTTCAAGAAACTTCTAAAGCCTCCTAGGGACTTCTAAAGCCTTTTAGAGCATCCTTAATCATTTTGAAGCTACTGAGGTCTTCGGAAGACTTGTGAAGCTTTAGAAGCTTTTTGAAGTTTGTGACCCCTTTTGAATTCGAGCTTTGTGGATCTTCTCAAAGACTTTTAGAAGCTTCAGACGTTCCTGACGGTTTCTAAGACTTTCCAAAACTGTACAAACCCTTCATTTTCCAGGAACCAAAAAGTTGGAAATGACTACGACAAGTTTTACGAAGATAACCTGTGAGCTGAACCTTAACATCCAGCTGAGAAAGATGATCGTTTTTAGAAAACAAGGAGAGTACGGTAACCCAAACCAGGAATCAAAGTCTAAAACTCTCATAGTATTTGAAATCGTCGCGAAACTACCATAACCATATTCTGCGAATTCGTAGGCTGGCCTATTCTTAAAAGTTATTTATGCACTTATTAATTACTAGTATTAAGCAAAAGACTGAAATAAAATCTCAACTCTTCTACGAACTGCTCTCGTCACACTCGAAAAATGGGGCGGAGCTTTTAAAACGAAAAACGTCTTCTTCTCTCCTTTTGTTGCTACGGGAATTGTCTCGTTAACAACGACGTCTTCTTCTTCTTCTTCTTCTGAATGTCTATTTTGGCTCCGTTTCCATTCCAATTCATTTCACTCGTATATACATATAATCATAGTAATCAAAACATTAGAGGTAGCAGCAGCACATAACATGCAATAACGGGAGACAACAAGAAATGGCATTCTCAAAAATTGACAAACCAGAAAACTAAGAGAATAAAAAGAGGAGGACAACAAAATATGTCATATTTCCTTGATTTATAGGAAGAGACATGAAAATGAACAAATTTCCGGTGCGAGGTAACGGAAAACGGGGAAAAGGTTTGGAGAAGAAAAAGCAATAAGAGATTGAAAAAAAACCTGCAAAAATCTTTTTTGTTGGTTAATAAAGGTACTTTGTTTCGGATTTTTGATAGATGGAAACCGAAAAAAAGATGATGGGGCGAAAATTATGAAGGGGATCTCCAATTGTTAGGACTGTTAGATTTGGTATTCGAAGATTTTGGGGATTTCTAATGCACGGAGATCGTGCAAAAAGCAGGTCCATGAATAAAGGGATTTGGTGGGATTAAGAAAAATAGGAACGGAAAAAAAAACGGAAAGGAGTGCACGACTACTGAAGAACGACTGATCAAATCGAGATTAAATATATTATTGGAGGTTTCGGCAAAGTCAAAACTGAATTATTCTTTGTTAAAATGGAGCTTTCCAAAAGTACTCAAAAATCATTGTCCGATAAAACATTGGCCTAGTTCATACAGGAAGGTGAGTGAATGAAAAATAATAGAAAGAGTTAGAGCTTGAAAGTTCAAGTTGAGCCAAGCGATCGGCCGTATGACTTTTTTTTTCCTAATAATCTGGAACATGTGTACAAGAAGAGTATTAGACAATGTCTGGATGGAATGACGGATATAATGAGATGCACCTCGTGTAAATATGATTGAAATGTAAATATGATATAAGCTAAAATGGGCCAAAAATTCGGGGGGTACAATGATTCGGGGGTACAAGGGGGTACAACTGATTTAGGGGTACAAAATTGATGATTCGGGGGTACAAAATTCGTGGGTACAAAAATTCGGGGGTACAACGATTCGGGGGTACAATCTACCAATGATTCTGGTGTACAACTTATTTCATTTAGGGGTACAACGTTTGTGATTCGGGGGTACCATTTTTTTTGACGAAGTTTCTGAATTCCTGAATTTCAGAGCTTGAAAATCTCTGAATTTTTAGAATTTCAGAACTTTGGAATTTTAGTATTTAGGA